AAAACTCTGGTAGTACTTGCGCAGAAATTCAAACCATGTTTTTATATGCGGTCTTAATTCAAATAGGTACTTGGTTATCGCACCCATAATAATTTCTTTGTAGCAGGGAATTTTTACTCATTACGCCTATTTTGTAAAATTTGTATTTTGAATATATAAAAAAGTACCATGACACCATAAGGACATATTTGTTATAAATAATTCTTTACAAAGCTTCCCTAGTTATACAAAATTTACCAGAGGTAACGTTTTTCATTATTCGCATACAATAATGAAAACATACGCGTACAAAAATAAATACATCAATGCGAGTGACGCCGGGTTCTAAAATTAGTAGTCTTATATATAAACTTTGTATTTTAATTATTTCATGTTACAATACCTTTAATAGTTGACCTGCTTTACGCTATAGTTATGTTTAAATCATTAAGAAAATTTATGTTTAGGGTAGATCCGCACTGCACGGGTAACAAACGCCGAGACAATCATACTAATATTATATATGCGAAAGTTCAGATGGATGGATGGATGTTTGTTAGAGTTTGTAGCCTAAACGACTGAACGGATCTCGATGATATTTGGTATAGATATGGAGGATAATCTGGAAGAATACATAGGCTACTCACTTTTTTTTTATAATTCCACGCGGACGGAGTCCCGGGCGGAAGCTAGTAAATAACAAAATCATTGTGTGTCATGAATTAGAGCTGTACCTTACAATGGTTTAAAAACACATTGATAATTTAGAAGACTGATAATTTCGAATGTACAGACGCGTTTAAATCTTTAACACTACAATAATTATTCAAATTTTATGCCAGTTACACACCTTCTGTTTTGAACTAGTTGTATAATTATTTATGTATGTAGGCATTATTTTTATTATCAGTTAAACTGTACAGTTTTTAGTTTCGCCTATAGATGTATAATTCAAGGGAAGGTATACTGAGCTTTACGTGTGTCAATGTACGAGAAAGGACTCCATTTTATAGTCAGACAAAAAAAATATTAACTAATAGTTTTTTCAAACGCGTCATGAGAACGGTCCTAAAAAATACATTAGCGTGTAAGTCCTAAGATGGTATTTGAGTCAACATAACTTGGGGTCCGTGCAGACGAGGCCGCGGCCTTGCCAGATGTGGGTCGAAGGATAAGCCCCACGCACCCGCCATTTGCATTTCGATTACGAATGCTCGAAATTTGTTTTTCTCCGTCCATCCGGCGCCTAATTGTGAAAGAAATTTCATCCAAACGTAATTACAGCGTGAGGAAATTGTGAATACGATAAGAGTATAATAAATAATTTGTTTGTATATTGAAAGTCGTTATGTGAATTGCGTAAATAAATCTATTTCTACTTACGTAGTATTTTACAAAGAAAAACTGTTTAGTGACTCACCCAAATGCATAAATTCATGTCCTGGGAATGACTCACTTATTCATTTTTTAACGAAGAATGGGGTTAAAAACGGTTCCTTAATTTAAAAAAACACTTTAAGATGTAAGATTTATGAAAAGGAAGAATTTTATGTATTGGATGAAATTTTGAAACAATCCTTTTTTCACGTCAAGGGAAATATCCCAGTGTTATTATTAAAAAAGGAGAAAACGTTATTTAATAAAGTATGAAAAAAAAGTATTATAATGATTATTTACTATGTGTTTAATAAGTGTGTAAAGTCATTTGACAATCATATACTCTCGAGGGCATTGTACCACCTTGCACTTAGACTGCACCAAGGCAACAATACCAACGACCGCGTAACCTTTTGGCGCAGTCGATATGATAACTCAGACGCCTCTAAATTTATAATATAAATAAAAATTAATATTTGTCCCGTATCTAATCTTAACAAAAAACACACATAGTAACTTAGTTTATTTAAACATGTTAAATATCAGTAACGTCTTTACATTATGGCTTAATTATTACAAGTATACTTCAAAAAAGATATAAATTCTATATGTTTGTGACGAGTTTGAGGTTAACACGAAAATTTTCGAGAAAGTGTTCGTAACGTAGAGAAATTTTATATGAGATTCGTCTATGTATTTTATGCTCGATAGGAGTTCTACATAAAAGTTTCGTGCTAGGTTCCTAGTTCATCTATACTAATATTATAAAAAAGAAAGGTTTGCATTTTTGTATGTATTGTAATAATTCAAAAACTAAAGGGCCGATTTAAAAAATTCTTTCACCGTTAGAAAGGTAAATTACCTGAGACTAACTTAGGCTATATTTCTTTAATTTCACGAAGGCGAAGTCGCGAGCAACGACTTGTTATTTATAATTACAAGGTGCGTTGATGGTCGACTTGCCCCAATTCATATAAAGTATTCAATACAAAGGTCTACACTGAAATCTGTGACATAAATAGTATTAAGTAAGTGTTGCGTTAACCTATTATGTAAAATACATAATAAATCTTACGACTCACTATTATATACATTTTCCATAATTATTTATTACAAAAAGTACGTAGCGGTGACGTTCACGCGATCCCTTGCCAAGAACCTGCAAAATATCGCTTCCCTGTTGCCGACTTACATTATTTAGAAATTAAATTAAAAGTGTAGCAGTAACAAGAAGAAAGAATTTTGAATTTTTCACATTTTATTTCTCATATTAATTTAATAAAAAAACTAATTACTATATAAAAAAAAATAATACGGAATTTAGCTATACTGATGTTGTGGTAAAAACTACTGGGAAGATTTAATAAAAAAAAATCTTTCACCAATAAAAAGCTAGGTTATCACTGAGTAACATAGGCTATTATTTTTTTTATTTTACGGAAACGAAGTCGCGGTCAACAGTTAGTTTTTATAAAAATAGATAAAAGGCTCTATAGGATCCCGGTTTGTGAAGACCTGAAATGTTATTTGACTAAACGATACGGGATGGCAATTTTATGTTGATTATTACGAAGTTAAAAAAAATATTATTCTTGACTGCAGTGACATTAAAAATTTCGTAGCACATCGTAGCTGTTACGTAGACTAGTAATTATTGGTTGATTATTTACATTTAGGTATTTACTTTACATGTAAATTATTCCTTAATCACATTAAAATATACCAATCTAAGAATCATAAGTATACATAAAATTTTGTTTAGGTTTACCAACAGTAAATTAGTATTTGCGATGTCTTAACGATCAGGGCGCGGTTTTGCAGAGTCACTATAGAAATTACACTTAGTTACTATAGTTTTGTGGAGCGAATGGTTATTATTATAAAAGGAAATAGGCTATTTGTTCATTGCTAATATACTTTATGAACAATAAATTTGCTTTTACATAATATATCAGGTTTAATATTTTGATTACCATAACCTACTAGTATCTGAATTCAGTCAAATGGGATTGGTAATTTAATAAATTAAATTTATGTAAATCTAAGTAATACAAAATAAAATAAAATGTAAAAATCCTTTAAATACGGAGAGCTTAAGAAGCTAATTCATTTCGTTCATTCATTCATTCCGCAAGGTACCATCCTCACCATCTTGATGGCTGGCATTCCACAACTGTGCGGTTTTCGCGAAACTTTCTGCCCGCTCAGCAGCTTGACGATCGGTCTGTCCTCGGCGGTATTTCCAAACCAATACGACTTAGGGTCCTTCAAGAAGCGTTGCCTATCCTAATGCCTATCGTTTCTCCAAAGACCGGCAACGCATCTGCGGTTCTTCTGGCGTCGTTGACCACCTCGGTGATCTTGCCGCTCGTTTGCCCCTTTTATTATTAAAAAAATAAGAAAAGTGCACTTTATTCACTAAACTATGAAAAACAATAGTAATCAATGTCTCTTATACTACTGATTTAGGTTTCACGTAAAAAATCAGTTCGAAGTTTTCACTGTTTACACTTTCGAAAAATGCAGTCCGTTGTAAGGAGGTCAAGCGATTTATCAATATACGAGTAATGGCTGTTTGTAACGAATATATCCCATTTAAGCTTTATTCTTGACCGCAGTGACTAGCTTTTGCCCGTGACGTAGTCGACGCAGAATTAAATACAAGCTTACTTAGTTGCTTTTGAACTAAGATTTAATAAAACTATGTGCTATATCAGTGTCAAATTTCATCCATCCATTCAATCAAACATTTGCATTTAAATCATTAGTATCAAGCATAATAATGTGTGATTTTTTTTTTAAATACATTACACTGATTCTCTATGGTATCATCATCAACATCATCAGCCTTTCTCTGCCCACTGTTGGACATAGACCTTACACAATACCTCCCACATAATGCTCTATGGTAATTGGTCGCCATTTTATTCGCACTTTCTTCACAATCGTGATACATTTCACGCAATCCATCCATTTCTAAAAGAAAGCCTACTTACGATATACACGTGCATACTAAAAAAAATACGCTATAATTTTATACCCGGTGTTTTATTACAAAGCCGTTTAACGTCAGATTACATTATATTATGTAGGTTACTTAACTGAAGCATAAGTACTTTACTTGATTGAATTATGTTAATAACAATTGCATACAATGCTTATAGTTTACGTTCTGAATACATTTAAGACAATTTAAGTACTCAATTATATGGAAAATTAGAAATCTCTCTTCCAAAATAATTATCAAAATAAACTAACCGTAAAACTATTTAACATGATTATATTATGAAGTTAAAATGAAAGATATTGTTTGAATACGCGGTCGTCTTATTAAAAAAAAAAGACAAAGATAATTACGTTTCAACATCTAAAGTTCTAAAACTTAAACAAACTTACCTAACGTACGATTTTACATATAAATAATTTTACCTGACGTAATTACCAACGAAATGAAATTTATTTACATAATTGTGTAATTGTGAAGGCGTTGCTAACTGTAGGCCTAGATTATTTACATTTCCGCATAGCTTATTGACCAAAAGTAAAGTGGATCAAGGTCTCAGACCCATTTTATGTCAACCTTCGCCTAATATTCTTAGCGCGTTATCCCGATTGCGTTTATCAGTTCGCGTGTTGACGTGATCGTGACTGGTCTTGCTTGTAATAATATTAATTCGAAAAATACACTGTGTATTAAATGTGTGATTGATATCAGGTATAGGGGCTCGGTTGCTTGGTTGCGTGGACAAGCGACCTTGGCGTTCTGTCCACTTCCAGCCGCTCGTGTGAATTTTCGAATAGTAACAGAACCGCCGTCCACAGAGATGTTGCTACGTTTGATTTTAAACCTTACACAAGTTACATAGATTTTATAATCCCTAATTTTTAAGTGGCAGTTGTGATGTTTTGGTTTGTGTTTGTTAGATTTCTTGTTTTGTTAGTGCGGTATCAGCTGTTGTTTCGTTTGGACCTAGTACCGTAGATGGTTCGTAGCGCTACGGACGTAGCTTTCAAGGTCTTGCGGTGACTCGATATCGCTACGTTTTGTGAAATCCGTGAACATCAGTGAAGAAGTGGACACAAGTTTCGAATCAAAAACTTCAATAGTAAATCAAAATTGTTGATAAATATAACATACTAAAGCGTTTGTAAATAGTTATATGTTTGTTAATGACACATAACAGAGGGTTTGCATGGTACCAAAACATGTTGTATTTTTTTTAGCAATGAGAATAACAGGAAGAATATGTTCAAGTCATATGTTTCGGCAGTGGAAACCCACAACACGTACAAATATTTCACGCAGTTCTTGAAATCATTTTTATATGAAATACCTTTTGAGAGCTATTATTAGTTAGGTATTGAAACTTGAACAATTGACGTCAACGGAAAATAATTTAGGCTTTGCGTGTTTATATTTTAGTATTCCTTCTGTTATGCGATCTACAGCCTTACACTATTATTACATCTTATATAATAATAATAAGATGTAATAATGTGTTAACTTTAATAATCTTTGTATATTACAAGTTGATAAAATATTTAGAAGTAACTAATACTTAAATGCCTTTAGAACTGCGGTTCCAAGTTGCCCTAATGATCGCCAAACTTCGAAAGAAGATGGCATTGTAAGAAAAAAAAATAGTTAACATAAAAGAGTTAGGAATGTGTCAGCACTGCGCTAATCGGAACTCTGTTTTGACTACCCTTGTGATTTACAGGATTTGTGTTGTTTATACGTGTAAAAATTGTGAAATTATTACACAAACTATAAACTTTTCAAGGCTAAAACAATTCATAAAGCAATTAAAGATATTTGAAACGCGGTCTCATAATATCCGGTCAGTTTAAGGTGGACTTAACGATATCAATCTGGCCATTAACACGCTATACAAGCTAACAAAAGAAATAAAGTGTCATTAAATCCTAGTTCAAAGAACATAGTTAAACTTTTTAATAAGTGCTTTGATACCTGTAAATAAAAAAAAAGTGTTTTTGTTCTTATTTTACTGTCATTTGTTTTTTATTAAAAACAAAAAGTGATCTTAGTTCTTTTATTATGATTATAAATGCGAAAGTTTAGATGGATGTGTCTAAGAATTTATAGCTTAAACATCAAAACGGATTTTAATGAAATTTGGCATATGTAGAGGATAGTCTGGAAGGACATATGGTCTACTTACTTTTGTATTTTTTTACGCGTACGAAGTCGAAGGTGAAAACTAGTATTGTTATGCTATACTAGCATTCGCCCGCGACTCCGTCCGCGTGGAATTAAAAAATTGAGTAGCTTTTGTGTTCTAGACTATCCTCTACATCTACCAAATTGCATCGAAATCCGTTCAGCCGTTAAGGCTACTAACAAACATCCATCCGTCTAAACTTTCGCATTAATGATATTAGTATGATTCAAAGCTTTAAAGTTTAGCTTGTTAAACATACATATGTGATATGTGATCAGACGCAGGGCACAATAACGTCACTGCATGCGATATGTAAACGCCGCTGCAGAATATACTGCAGACCAGCACGACATTGTCACAACACTAAACTTACGTACTTGAACTTCTTTAACATTTTACTATCAATTTTGGCAACAATCCCAGCAAAGACGATGTGAAAACACAGGCCCATATAGACTGATTAGAGCAGCGTATCAACACTATTAGTATATCGAATCTATTTATGATAGTTACTGAATAGTTAGTCAAAATTCATACAAAATTGTTAGCTTCCCCACTCGCGTATCTAAGTGCAGACAAATTAACTAATCTATGCAATAAAAATTAAAATGAAAACACGTAAATATTGACACATTTTTAAGTATCTATTTTAAATCTAGCAAATTCAACTTAATAATACTAAATTCATAACCTATATGATATTTTTTCATGTTCACGATAATCTGTAGATAAATAAAATCTGTGTTAAAAGAACACTAAATAATAAATCTCACCAAAAACCAAAAGACTTGATTTAGTCAAAGAAAGATTGTAAGTTTTGTGACTCGAGTGACCATTGACGGCAAAGTGTGGCGACCGTCTCGACGTCGCTGGCTACAGCTGGCAGAAGACTCGATGCTGGACAGCGACGAGGAATCCTTCACTGTCATATCATTGCCAGTCTACACGCCCGATTTACCCGTAAGTACACAAGCATTTGGTAATGGCAGCGTAAAGCGGTCTGCAGTTGTTTACATTCGGTGTTAAATATTGCAGCGGGCAGTACGCCTACTGGAAAGTCCAGAAAAATCCGGATTTCACGGAAATATACTAAATTTAGTCCTTTTTAGCCTATTGTTTGAATGATTAATTTAGGTTATTTTGCGTGAGAATCGCTCATTAGATTTCAGTCGAACACTCCGCCAGTGTAGTCCAATTTAAAATAAAACGTTAAACCCTTTTCGTGGTATATATAATCTACCCCCATGCTTGAACAATTTAATTTATCTCATCAAGATAGTAAGAAATTTTAATAAAAATGCGACCAAAATAAGTTTTCGGTGTCCCACTTTCGCTTTACATATGATATTAACAATAACGTTTTATGCTTGTTTGAAGTTCCAACTATTAACAGCAGAACCTCGATAACTCCAAAAAATAATATATTTTCTATCATCAGAGCCCAAAACCTCTAGAACACAGACCTGTGGATAACTTAAAACATCTACAACTTAAAATATTTTGTGTTTCCCTTGGACTTTAACTTATCGAGGCTCTACTGTAATATAAAAAACAAATTAATATCAATAATATAAATCTCAACGGTGTATTATCGTTCACGGTGAAGAAACAAAAGGCCTCACAAAACGCCGCAGTCCACTTTCTATGCAGCAATTTGTGTTTTGACCTCGTCCGCGACACATATACCAGGCACACGTGCAAACTAAAAGCCAAACTAAACAGCGAAAGTGAGAAGAATTAGTCAAATTTCCATAATCATAGGGGCCGTTAGGAAGGTCGTTCAACACGCATAATCGACTGTCCTTGAAAGATATCGCTTAGTCCCTTTTGGCGAAGGGCGTAGTAATTCAGTAGTAAATTCGGTGGTCCCCAGAAGTGGTCGTTCTGTGGTCGCGTGCGACGCTACCAAGATACCGCGGTTAAGGATTAGGTATAACTCCCGAAGTGCGGAAGATCTAAGAATCATAGTTAAGGTAAGTCATGTTTTATTAAATTAAACTGCCTGCAATTTAAAAAAGGTTAAGATCGATAACATTACAATAAATGGAAAAAAGAAACTTTGACTAAGTTTCTTTTTTCCATTTATTGTAATGTTAACGTTGAAAGGTAACTTTTCAACTTCGTAGACCTTTTATTTCTTAGAGAGAACAGTTTTTTTCATACTCTTTTTATAAATAAGAGAGTAATATGAATTACAAAAATTTCTTAAAATTTTCCTAAATTAAGTAAATAATATCTACAAAAAAGTAGTTTACATATACAAATCAAAATGTGAAAAAGTAAATGTATGCATTTCGAATACCTACTAAAAATTACAAACGTTTTTTAAAATAACAAAAACCCCAGACGTTTAGCAATTAGCAAGAAACGGTTGTAACATTCGTCATAAACAGTTCTTTATGGAGTAAAATAACGCAACGAATGCAATCGGGTTACCATATGTAAACTAGGTTAACTATAAGAAAATTAAAGAAAAGTCCTGCCACAGTTAAATGGTAAAAGTCGAGAAAATTCTTCATGAAAGTAATAAAATTCTTCGCCCAGTTATAACTTACATTTGTTAATATTCTACAGCAGAAAAAAAACTTGCATAATACTTTAAATACACGAAGTGGTTTATTAAATTTAAAAACTGGATTTAACGTTTTATCAAGACTCTATCGAAGGAAGGTACAAAAGTTTAACGAATTTTAAAATTTGTAAATCTATTATGCTATATCAATGTATGAATCGGATTTCTGTGATCAGGAATTACTGATTTTTTACTAACATTATAGTCGACCAAAAAATATTTTATGTAAGAAGTTTTGTTTGCTGTTTGGAGAGTCGTCACCGTAGCGAATTCGGTCAGGGCCGCGCTGTCTGACTGGCCAATTCTTTCGATTCATAAACAACTTGTAATGTACAACCCTGAACTTTGTTTTCACTTGTAATGATATATCTAATATATTTGGCAATGAGCCAGACACTGTAGGCCCAAAAAGTTATATAGAGACTATATGGGAAAATATTGTCATATATATTAAATACTAGCTTACGCTCGCGATTCCGCCCGCGTGGTATTAAAAAAACAAAAGTGAATAGCCTATGTGTTCTTCCAGACTAACTTCTACATCTATACCAAATTTCATCGAAATCCGTTCAGCCGTTTAGGCTACAAACTCTAACAAACATCCATCCATCTAAACTTTCGCATTTATAATTATGTTATGTGATCAGTAAATTTGTAATTAGAAGTATTAGTAAGTATGATTATTAAAAAAATCTACGAAAAATGACTTGCTTTTATCGGTGAAGATTCTGAAATACGTTTTTCGTTTGCACTCTTGACAATTTATATAAATATTTGAAATTCAAATTTACTTACTTTATCTATAATTATAAACGGTGTTAGACATTGCATGAATATTCAATGCATTTTTATCAACATTATTAATCTCATCATGCAAGAACTTTTATTTCATTATAGTTATATTCTTTTTATTTGGTCTACAAAATATTGAGCGTGTCTACAAAGATTATACGAGTATATATTAGTCACCACTGCATTCTGTTCCAGTCCTTCACGTAGTAAACACGTTAATAATGGAAAGCGAAAATCTGGAAACAATAAATGACGTAAGAAACACAATAAGCAACGGAAAATCTCAAAAAATATCTCAAAACTATTTAAAAGACCCTGAGTAACATAATGACTGTTATAATATTATTAGTTCATTATTCTGGTTTATCCTAAAGGCGGCGAGCTACGGTAAGAAGAACGGCATGTGGTACGGAGGAACCGGTACGGGTACGAGCGGGTGGGCGCGCGCCAGCGTCCGTAAGCAGTCCGTGGCGGAGTCCGATGCGCCTCCTCCCGGCGGCGGTAAACCCTCCAGCGGTCGAGTAATCAGGATCATCAACAACATGGACCACTCCATACAGGTATAATTGGTTATACCAAGTACACAAGCAAGGATCTTGGTACAACAGCCAAGAACTGGTATGAAAAAATCTGGTATCAAAAATTAAGCCGTAAATTTCGTTACTTTGAAAGTATATTTGTGCTAAAGTATAATAAAAATTACAGTAATTTTACTGTTTCCTCGCTATTTATCATACAATAGAAGTGTAGTTTTATCAAATCCGGTAATCATAGTTAACGTAAATTCATTTGGCTCGGCCCAAAAGAACCTTTTTCAATGAAAAAGCCTTGAGACTTAAACACTTATGTTCCCCGAGGGCTTCGATTCACGATGTAAGGTCAATTTATAATAATAGTAAATTTTCGTTTTTGTTTGTTTAAAAATCTAATTAATGTCTTCTATTTTTGCTTTTTAAGATACTTATTATTCTAAAAGTCCTAATGCAGCAATATCCCATTCGTTTTAATTAATTTTCTTATCCAATAGAGACATTTTAAATAATGTAGTTAAATCCGGAGCAATAAGTACTTAATAAGAAATATTTTCCAGTGTCGTGTTTTGTTAAATCTCCGAACCACACAACCATTCGAAGAAGTTTTAGAAGATTTGGGACAAGTGTTGAAAATGAGTGGTGCAAAAAGAATGTACACAATTACAGGCCAAGAGGTAAATATCAGTTATGGTTTACACAAATTTACCTATCCAGGTGTGGCCGTAAATCGTTAATATTACGCAGGTTCGAAGTTTTTCCCAGCTGCGAAACGAGTTTGCAGACGTGGAGACATTTTATCTTGGATCTATTGTGGTACCTCCAGCGCTAAGCCCTGTCGTCACTGCCCCTGCCATGCTGCCCATTGAGTCGCCTATCAGAAGGTAAAACGTTATTAGAATAGAACACAAAATTCAAATGTAGAATAGACCCAAAGTTGTAGTAGTCCAGGATTCCGACGTCGACACTGTTATTTAGCTAAAACTTGGACGTCGAGTTGACGTAATAAAGCCTCATTGTAATTATGAACAAAGTACTAATAAAGTGTTTTTATTTTTTTAAAGGCCAAATAAAACTTAAGGAACCGTCTTTTTAGAAGTGTTGGGGTTCAAAAATTTTAATAACCATTACGTACATATTTTCAGCAACCTCATAATTTTTTTGTTAAGTTCTTAGACTATTTTCTGATGTGTTTAGATCTCGTTCGAGAGCAACAGTAGCTTCACTGCCGATATCAGAAGATTCCAGAGGCAGGAGAGCTCGCAGCAAAAGTAGACCGAGGGTTTTGTATGCGCCTGAAGGAGAAATTATACGCAATTCAGGTACATTTTACGATCTAAGAATAATTAAACTTACTAAATAACTTTTTTCTATTCATAGAAATGTGAGGTAGTTTCTACAACAATATCACAAAATGTATTGGTTTTTTGACGATTTTTTTTGTTTACATTCCAAGAATCCAGATTTTATTTTCGATCACAGACTATACACTACTGGAAGTTCTCAAAGAGGAGCCAATGCGAGTGACGATCCGAGGCCTGCGCCGTACCTTTTACCCGCCCATACACCACGCGCCCATCGACAACTCGCCTCCGGACAAGAAAATGCAGCTCGATTGGGTGTAAGTAGTTACATTATCCTTAGAGAAGTTGTACAAAACACTGACACATCTGTAGGGTGTTTAAAGCTGACTAAAGGAAGAAAAACACTTGATTACAATGAACCATTATTTAAAACATTCAGTGTTGCCGACTTATTCATGGTATTGCGTTGTTCCTAGTTATGGGTACAGAGGTGCGGACTCTCGTCGCAACTTGTGGGTGTTGCCGACGGGCGAGTTACTGTACTATGTGGCGGCGGTGGCCGTCATGTACGACCGCGACGAGGACTCACAGCGGCATTACACCGGCCACACTGAAGATATACAATGGTATGTTTCCGGTTAAGCGGAAGCACACTTTTGATTAAATTAACTCGCAACTGTCGTGCGATTTTCTATTGTTTCGCAGCCCATTTAACTGTTTAGTTGCACAACTAAAAATCGAGTAATGTGCGCACCTCCATATAAGCTCATAGGAATCAAAGCGTGACCAAAAATGCGATAGTTTAGTCAAAAGTGGGCGCCCTAAATGTTCAGTTGGGCTAGCGTAAAACTAGTCGTTTATTATGCTGCAATTACCTTTCCAGATAGAACTATCTAGAAGTAAAAATGACAATAACATTGGCTCTTCGATTCCGATTTCCTGTACTTTAGGAACCATGACCTAGCAATTTGAAGCTAATGTGAACAGCTCAGCCTCTATTAATACTATAGATTTGTGGAATTAATATGTTGCAGTATGGAGCTACACCCGTCCCGCGAGCTGGTGGCGAGCGGGCAGCGCGCGGGGCGCGGGCGGCGCGCGCAGGCGCACGTGCGCATCTGGAGCGCGGACTCGCTGCAGACGCTACATGTCTGCGGCATGGCGGAGTTCGAGGCCGGCGTCTCCGCTGTCGCCTTCTCACAGCTGGTTAGTACTTGGTAGAAGTCGGTAGTAGTTAGTAGAAGTCGGTAGTTATTGGTAGAAGACGGTAGTATTTAAGGATATACAATAGCAACCTTCAATCAAGTAGTTTGTGTAGCTAAATTATTTTTGAATTACAGAATGGAGGAAGCTACGTGTTAGCCGTGGACGCAGGCCGAGAGAGCATTCTCTCCGTGTGGCAATGGCAGTGGGGACATTTACTTGGAAAAGTTGCTGTAAGTTAAACAATCAGTTCTAGAAGAAAACGTGGACAACAACAATCTTAATTATGCAGTTTATATTAGAGATTATAGTTGTTAAGTGTGCTACGCTGCTACGAAAGTGCTACAAATATTTTCGTTTTAGTTCATTTACAATATTTTAACACAAATACTCCTTTTCTTTTTTATTCCTTTTTTAAATAAGCTATATAAATTGAGTTAATTTATTCTAGACCCTGCAAGAAGAATTAACAGGCGCGGCATTCCATCCTCTGGATGACAATCTACTCATCACTCACGGAAAAGGACATCTCGCTTTCTGGAACCGACGAAAGGATGGCTTTTTCGAGCGCACCGATATTATTAAACCAGTAAATATGCCATTTATTTTATTATTTAATACTTATACACGCTGTTTTATATTTTAAAATATACACAGCCTTCTCGCACCAACGTGACTGCGCTGCAGTTCGAGCAGGACGGCGATGTGGTGACAGCGGACAGCGATGGCTTTATCACTGTGTATAGTGTTGACAGTGACGGCGCGTATTTTGTGCGTATGGAGTTTGAGGTACGTCATTCTTATACAAGGTATCATCTTAAAAGTTCAATAATTTACTGGGTGTAGGGACTTAATTTTTTGTTGTCTATTTAACTTACCCTATATATCAAAATTCTACAATTTGTTAATGTTTTAGGCACATATAAAGGGAATCAGCTCTTTAGTAATGCTCTCCGAAGGTACACTCATATCTGGAGGTGAAAAGGACAGGAAGATAGCTGCTTGGGATTCCTTACAAAATTACAAACGAATCACCGAAACTAAGGTACTTAAACTAACTGGGAAACCTATTTGTAGTATGTTTTTATGATTATTTTATTTTATTTTTCTAATCAGTGAGATAAATATTTACGTTGCTTTATAGTTGCCAGATACAGCGGGCGGTGTACGAAGCATTTACCCTCAAAGACCAGGTCGTAATGATGGCAATCTCTACATTGGAACAACGAAGAATAATATCCTCGAAGGATCATTGCAAAGGAGATTTAATCAGGTATAAGAGGCAACATTAGCAATAAACATAATAGTACTTTCGGCATACAAGTTAGTTACATGTTTTTTCAGATTATATTCGGCCATCACAAATTACTGATGGGTCTGGCCGTGCACCCGGATGACGAAATGTTTGCGACCGCCGGCAATGACAAGAATATCGCTCTCTGGAAGGGACACAAACCTATATTTGTTACACAGGTGAGTTATGACAAATTAGATTTACAATGGCTATACAATGTCACGATTCACGATAACTGTTAGTGCTCTAATGAACATTTACCTTTTCACCACATGTTTATTAAACTGGGTGTCGTTTATCTCGGTGTTCCTACCGCTCGTTAGCCCCAATCTTTTATAAGATTAGTGGAAACCTACTTAAATGGTAGAAAATCGCGAGATATAACTAAATTCCGGGTGTTGCCAGGTGGGCTACGAGTGCGTGTCTCTGGCGTGGCACCCCAGCGGCGGTGCGCTCGCGGCTGGAAGCACTGAAGGTCACCTGGTCGTGCTGAACGCAGACGCGGGCACGCACGTTGCTACTCTCAGAGTTTGTGGCTCGCCACTCAACTGTCTACAGTATAATACAGGTAGAAAGGGACACTACACGGACGGCACTTCACAAACGCTGCATTTGCGACTTCACCATTAGAAGGCAGTTTTTAGCCTAATTGTTAATCTAGAAAAAACAATGACTTCATGAAATTCGACGTCGAAGAAACCTTCCCCTTCCCTTTTTAAACTGAAGTTGTACGTAAACAAAGCGAAAATCATTTTTTAACTTGAATGTTGTGGAAAAGTAATGTTGATATATTTTTATGTTTGCAGCTGGTGATATATTAGCGATAGGATCTCAAAACGGCAGCATATACCTGTTCCGAGTGTCTCGCGATGGGTTTTCATATAAAAAGTTAAATAAAATCCGCGGCGCGCAACCGCTGGTGCAACTCGACTGGAGCATGGACGGCAGCTACCTGCAGACGGTCACCGCTGACTATGACCTGTCTTTCTGTAAGTAACTACTGTTATTACACAAATACATTACACATAATACATTACACAAATGCCATTTTCGTAAATCACATGGCTACTTTTTGAGTGGACGTTTATAAATAAGATTTAGTTTTTACAGTTTTTTTTTAAACCAGTTTGAAAAGCAGTATTTAATTCAATTTAACTGTAATTGAGTTATTTCGCAGGGGATATAAAAGCGTTATCGCCAGAGAAAAGTCCGATAGCTATGAAAGACGTGAAATGGTCAACATATAATGCTACGGTCGGATTCCTCGTGTCAGGTAAATCTCAGTTTATATTGATATTGATTGATACTGATTTTTGGTATTAGTATATGGTATATTAAATAATAATTTTATTTGTTTTAAGGAATGTGGAATAACCGTTTCTACCCCATGACGTCATTGATAACGACTGCCAGTCGCTCCTCTGCACATGACCTTCTTATTAGTGGCGATTCTGATGGCTACTTGCGTATATTTAGGTACGATACTAGTTATAAAAAACAACTAGTCCTCGTTAAGAATACAATTTACATTGAAGTCTTTTATATTTCTAGTCAGAAACACTAATAGACTCCCATACTATCCACTTTACTACTAAAATAACATAATTAAAAAGCGGCTTAATAGATTTGGATCGTTTTAGGTACCCTTGCGCAAGTCCGAAAGCGGAATATAATGAAATGAAAGCATACTCGGGAGCCGTGCACAACGCCCGCTTCCTGTTCAATGACCGGTGCCTGATCAGCTCCGGTGGTACCGACGCCGCGCTGATGCTGTGGGAGCTAGTGGATGAATAGCATATGGCCACGCAGGCGCTCCGGCCGCCTGCGCTCGTGGTAGCTCCGCCCACGCCCTCACCGCAGCACAATGGTGTACGCAACTCGACCTTCCGAGTACTCGAATATGATGATTTCGATTGAATCGAGTTATTGCGTTTCAGCTCTATGGTCTGTGGGATTCCCCGGATTACTCGATTCCGATTGATCGATAAATCGATTTACCTTAACCTACGTCCTTGAATGAGGTTTTAACTTAACTGTAACTATGAATTGTTACATACGAGTTAAATGAATATGAGTATTTAACATTAAAAAGTAATAAAGAAAGAGAGTGATAAAGAAAATTGTGCTTCGTTTTAGGCAAAAATACTGAACGTGAATTTTATGGCTACACATTCTTAAAACAAATAAATACATTTAAGAACACGTATGAAATATAAAGAAATATATCAATGCCATGAGCGCGTTTCAAAGTTTGTTGGTGAAGAAATGACATCTCAATATCGATTTATATTTCAAGAGATTAGCACTTTTACGCTATGTAGACATGGCGACCATAATTAAAGTATTAATTGTAATTTTAGACTTCACTGCCATTTCTAATAATGATATTGTTACAATTAGTTTGTAAAATGTCATAATGTCCTTAATCTGATTTAAGGAATTTTGGTCATGAAAAGTCGTTGAAAGGGTAATCACTCAAAACCTCTTTGTTCGTTAATTTGTGGAAGCTCTGAGAGCTATGCCTCGAACTTAAAGCATGATTTTATTGTAATGTTTTACTCTGGTTAATCTTTGAATTATTTGGAAGATGCAAAAGTTTAATTGTTTTTCTAATTCGCCTAAAATAGTACTTAGATCATGATTTTAAATATTGTACTTGATAAATATATATTGATAAGAATTTAAGGAAAATTAGGAGAGTAATGTTATCGCAATTTATTACGGCTTTGTACCAATGTAATACTAGTTAAATGAATTATTAAAAGTGGCAGGCCACTGGTTTATCAAAACATTTTATATAACGATACAATTTTTACACCTAAAGTAGATGTTCACATTATGTAAAGTAATTTTGCAATGGCTCTAACACGATTACATTTATCTTTTAATTGGATCAAAAATTCGTTGTTGTTAAAATATGATATAAAGATTATTATTATTAAATAAAATATACATTAAATAATAATGACATAGTAAACTTTCATATACATATATTTCTATTCACTATTTTTTAAGTTAAAAAAGTTCAGATTGAAGTAAACAAATAATTCTTGAAATTAAATTATTATAACATGCCTATCTGATATTTGAAACTAAGAGTCACGTAAGGGCTGTGCAGATGCAGTCAGTCTTTTACATGGACGTATCATAACATGACCATGCATCAACTATCCAAAATTCATGCATGAAGCCGGTTCCTTATAGGACGGAAAAAAATGTCAAAAGACAAAAATCCTCGGCAGAGAATTTATTTTAGTCTCCAATTTCTATCCATAATAACATTGTAAAACAGTAAATGTACTCATGAGATATTTCAAGAAATAGGTAAGTTTGTTTCATACATTTGGTATTTCAAATAAAGTTCTTTAAAAAATAAAAAGTCGTTTTTTTTACAAAGCTTCCGTGAATTTCTGAAATTGGTAGATTATTTTTAAGGATTATGTGGTCACCCAAGAATCAAAGACAAGTGACAGTTGCACTTTGGTTGCGCTGGACGGCTGACAGTGACATTGTCATGTAGATGACCAGACATCGAATCGATCGAAGTTAAAAAAGTAACAAAAAAATCACTTTTGACGAAAAGTGTGCTTTGTATTGATTAAGTTTTACTAATTTTTTCTAATATTTTGCTTTATTTGATAAAATGAAGCCACGTCCTTGCGGCTGCAAAGGATGCCGGACTTGCTTAATATGTGAGAAGCTGTACGGTGAGGAAAATCTTAAGTTATCATTAAAACTTGACAAAAGCAAAGGTTATGTATATTGTCCTTTTTGCGATAAAGCTTGGCCCGGTTGGGAGATAGATGAATACAAACAACACCCTCATCATTCCGGCGTACCTATAAATTATCCTGGTATATACATAAAGCCGGATTTCATAACAGAATCTGAGGAAGAAGAACTAATAAAACGTATCGATGAAGTGCCTTGGGATATATCGCAAAGTGGGAGACGTAAGCAAAACTATGGACCAAAAACAAATTTTAAGAAAAAGAAAATTGTCCCTGGTAACTTTGACGGTTTTCCGGAGTTTTCAAAATTTTTACAAGACAGGTTTCAATCGATTGATTTGTTACGAGATTATCAAGTTATTGAACAATGTTCGTTGGAATATGACCCGGATAAAGGTGCATCTATAGACCCGCATATTGATGACTGTTGGATATGGGGCGAGAGAATAGTAACTGTTAACTGTTTGTCAGATTCAGTTCTTACAATGACAATTTTTAAAGGAGATACTAAGAAATACAATTTGTATTGTGCTGACGAGTATTATCCAGTTGTGCAGCCAGATGGAAGTGTTGATTTAGAATTTACCAACAAAGACAAGACAATGTTAGAAATGTGTAAACCAAATGAAGACATAGATGCTATTATTAGAATTCCATTAATAAGGTAAGTGAATACTTATCCTGTTTTTATAATTGGAATATAAGCAGATATTTGTTACTTTACTAAATCAACCACAGAATTGGAATTACACTTAACTATTACACTTTTCATGCTAATATTGGTATATCTATAAATAAAAAGAACCTGTTTTGGTTCTTAAATTAGGTGTGCAAAGATAACAAAATGTACTTACTAAGATTTACTTTTAAAAGTGTTATTCTAACTTAGTAAATTTAAACTAAGCAATAAGGTTGAATTTTAATTCTGATTAATGATTTAAAAAACTTAATAAAACATTGAAATTATACAATAAAGTAATGTCATTTACTGAAGTTGCACAATGTTTTATAATTGCCCGGTATGACTCATTTTACTCTTCTGTTTTACTACTATTTGAACAAGAAATTGTTCAGTAATTTTTATCCTATCTTTCTTCTCATATTTTAAACGCAAATTTTAGATGGATGGATGTTTGTTAGGGTTTGTATCTTGTTGTTTGATCTTTGGATGAAATTTGGCATAGATGTAGAGATTCTAGAACATACAGGCTACTTGCCTTTTTTAATACCATGCGGACAAAGTCGCAGGCGAATGCTCGTATTTAATAAATTTACCATTGCAGTAAAAAATTACATTTTAAACACAAAGAACTCTTTCTTTCTTTCTCATTCAATGGGACTGACTGGTAATGAATATCAGACTAATAAATATAATCAATCAATTTCATTCCTACTTACAGAAGATCCATAATAGTGATGTATGGTGAATCAAGATATCACTGGGAGCATTGCATTTTACGAGAAGATATTACATCTAGACGAGTGTGCATAGCTTATAGGGAATTTACACCACCTTATCTCAGAAACGGAACCCATAGCGCAATAGGAAATGAAATAACAACAAGAGCTAAGAAATTTTGGGATCACAAAAGTAAACACAAAAAGGAAGATGAAATAACTAATACGTAAATTTGGTTAATTCTAATTTATTAAACCCAAAGATGTAAATGTTAGTAAATGTGTGATTATTAAAAAAATACATTTCATTTGTCCATAATTTGGTTTTATTAACAATATTACTAAAACTTAAAAAAACAATTATAAAATAAGTAGATTAGAATGATAAAGTATAAGTGAAAAATTACAATACGAAAATGTTTTTATAAGACATGATAAGTAATCAGGATTACCTTATCAAAACATTTAAGGCATACTTAGTAATAGTCTATTTTTAGTGAATAATGAAATTAAATTTTGTCACAGCTAAAACATTACAAAAAAATATTTATAATGTGTTTACCATATTAAAACATTTGCAATCTGCAATTTAAAATTTGTGCATTTGAAATACTAGGAAATGGCAACACTATCAATGTACAATAAAATATGGCAACCCTAAGCAGTGCTAGAATCAGGCTTGGCTATGTACACAGAATCTTCCTTGTTCTCGCTGGCTTGCCTGGCGAGGATCATTTGTTCCTTCATCATCCACGTGATGAGGGCTTTCTCACTTTTCATCTTACGAATGCAACGCGCCAGTAGCAACGCAAATATTATACCTAACAGCTGGAACGGAAAAAATAAGGTTTTGAATGAGTTATTTGTTTTTTAAATTTAAAAACAGATGGCGCTATCAACTTGACCATTTATCGTCTGTCAATGCGTGGTAAAATATTATAGAGTAAGTGATAATCGCAAATCCTACTAAACGAAAGGAGACCTTTTCGACGACTTAGAACTTGGAGTATGCATCAGCCAACTTTTTTTCAACACTTGATAAAAATATACAGAATTTCAACATAGTAACAAATTACCTGCGTAAACATAACAGAAACACCAAGAACTCCTAGGACACTCGAGTTCTGTAGCAGCATATCAGCTAGAGCATCTTTACAGCTGGTGATTCGCAGCCGAGTGCAGTAGATCTCTGAGGCTGATACACAACAGGAACGTGGAAGGACCACCGTTATCTGGTCACCGTCGATCACATTCGACACCACGACCGTAGAATGATTGCTTGTAAATTCCATACCGATGTAGTCCAAGTAGGAGTTACTGCCGCAACAATTCAGCTAAAATAAAAGGTTTCCATCTTTGAAATATTAGTAAAAAAAATGTTCTCTTTGAAAAACCATAGACGATAGTGTTTTAACATAATGCGCGGTTGACACTAGGCCAGTACAGTTGGTCGGTAGCGCGTAACAACTAGCCTGTCAATCAAATGTCACAGTATGGACCTGGACTGGCCGTTGAAACTGGCCAACTGTACCTGCAAAGTGTAAACTGAACATAAGAGTGACGGCATTCGTGTTTCACGATACAGTTTCAAGTAAAGAAGCACTAAATACAAATAAAATCAATAGATTAAACATCAAGGTTGTTTCTTCGATATCGGTAATAGTAGATAGAAATAAATCAATAATTTTGTTCTCTGGCTTCATTAGAATGTCGAAAAGTTCATCGAATATTTCTTGTTGCTAGTGACTAAATCTTAGTGTACATGTCCAACGGTGTCAGGACTTATGACCTTACCCACTGCTCCTTTAATTAATATACTGCTAATAATAAACTTACCGAAACTTGTAAGCCATCAATTTCAGCCTCTATTTCTGGATCGTATGCGTACTCTCTCACTGGCACGCTTATGTAGCTCATGATCATTTCAGGGCCCATCGTGAACGTTAGAATGACCAGCACTAACTTTACAATCAAGATTAACGTCAAAAAGAAGGCATACTGAAAGAGAATTAACAAAAATTGAGGTTAAAAAATACATATCATACAATTCTAATCCGTAACTTGAGAGGTAAGTAGAGAATAGTGATTTACAATTGAATCGCAAAATTCTATCGCTCTTTGATATATCTACCATGTATGAATCGATATTCAGCAATCAATCGATATGCAGCAATCGATATTGCTTGATTTCAAGATGTATTGTTGTCTAGATGTTACTTTTTTATACTAATACTATAAAGGGGAAAGATTTGTACTTTTGGATTTTTGTATGTATTGAAATAACTTAAATTCTACTGGACCGATTTCAAAAATTCTTGCGCCATTAAAAAGTTATCACTGAGTAACATGTTTTTGCTACTTTTTTTTATATTTCACACTTGCAAAGTCGCCAACAACAACTAGTAAGTAAACTTTAGCTAAATTACGTTTTTAGAACTAGCAAAGAGAGAGATATGTCTTGTAATGTGGTCGTAACTGGAATTCCTAATTGACTTATTTTTGCTGTTTAATCTTAATTACTAATATTGTAAATGCGCATATTTAGGTGAATGGATGTTTGTCAGATTTTGTAGCCTAAACTGCAACGGACCTTGGTGAAATTTGGCATAGGAGTAGAGGATACTCTGAAAAAATACAACGGCTACTTACTTTTGCTTATTTAACTCCAAGCGTGCAGAGTCGCAGGTAAAAGGTAGTTTGGAATAAATTTAAATTACTTTATAACATCTTACCAAGTTAACCATGCACGTGCTCTGCTTGAAACTACCGAAGAAACCGAAGAGTGTGACAACGAATAGCGCCAGGCCCAGAAGAGCGACAAGGATGGATGGTGTAAGGAATCTGCCGCTCTTTGCGCTTTCGAGGAAGAACGAGAAGTTGTGATAGTGCGTGTACACCGATATCCCAAGGATGATCATGAGACCAGAAATTAACTGAAAAAAATACAAACAATTACTAACCTAAAACCGTCCCAGAATAACTGCGTTAAACACCATAGTGATAATTACACTTCTTCTTGGTATTTCTACAAATATTCATCACCAGCTCACTATACTTGCCCACTGAGGGGCTCGGAGCTTACCCGAATAAAGGGTAACTAGGGCGTAGTCAATGCCATGTACCAATGTTATTTTCGATTTTTCTAAATAAGATTATAACCAATTTAAATAAAGCTTAATAGCAAACATCGGTATAGAATTAGTAAATAGATTTCGGTTCATAGAATATACACGATTACGGCGTATCTAGTTTCGTAAAAGTCAAATTATTTTATGACATTCCGCGTAAATGATATACGAAAAAGTAAATTATAATGTTTTTGAAATAATGAACAATGTCGCTAGCAATTGTTTCTTTAATAATTATCCCTAACGAAGTCTTTATCAGTGTTAATTGAATTTTACACCATTCATTGAGGTCAATTTGAGGTCAGCTGATCTTTAGAAACGGGAATAGAGTTTACTGGTCTATTTTATGACCTACTGATTGCAACTCATATTAAATAACTAGATCAATGTGTTCTTATTCCTCTTGTCTTGTATTACCTACAGAGTTTAGATTACTACTACCAAAAAACCTTTACAAAAACATATACTTATCTCTCTTTTTCCATAGATAATGAGAGAGATGACCATACTGTTTTCTACATGTGCTTTATAGCTATTACAAATAAATGCCTTCTAATTGTAACTTCAATCAGGTAGGGCGCACAAGGATAGATGCATAAAATCGATTCAAGATGGCCGCCACAGATAAATAACACTGCGGATTGCATAATTGTTTGCATTTAGTGTAAATAAAGTAACGATTATACTATAGGAAATAAATACGAAATATATACGAAATAAAATAACGATTTGATAATAAAAAATAAGTAGACTTCATGAAGTCTAGAAGTTGAGACCCTATCACTTCCACCATCAAGACTATCACTGCTCTATTAGGAAGACTCATAGGTGAGGAATAGAATCTATTATCGGTTAATAGTCGTAAATTATGCAAGTCGTGTATAATTGTACAGTCGTGTAGCGGTAACTGCAAATTGACAGTCAGAACAGCAATGACATTAGTTACTGGTATAAAGTAACATCATTTATTTCTATTGTAATTAAATTATTTTTTAATTTTGTCCTCCACAAAGGTGGATGGACTTAGTGCGCACGAGAAGTCGTTGGATGCGTACAGAGGAACGCATTACACGGAAGACCTATGTAGTAGTTGGCAGATGAAGACTGATATTGACTCATCTTCCCTACCTTATCCTCCTACCGTTAGGTGGGGGACTGGGTTTTAATAAGCTTGCAACCCACAACAGTAAAATATAACGATAGTCAAATATAGTTTATTAATGTGTTCTTTTATCAAAGAAATAGCGTTTTTTTCTGTTTCTTTGAGACAAAAATAATAATTTTATACAAATTGCTGTTTCGCGAATTTCTGAGCTACAAAACAATGGCATAGTAAATATTGTGTTAACGTTTCATAGTGCAAACACTAGTTTAAATTTGAATAATGAAATAATAAAAATTAGTTTGTACAGGTTGATATTTTTTGATTGTCATTTTTAAAAGTGTCTATTGTAGTAAATACGTGTTTTCTTAGAAGTTTTTTAACAATAAGTATAAACGTAAACATTTACGCCTGCAATGTTACTGTTTACGAAAAATATGTTTGATTAATTTTAATAATCGAAACATTACAGTTGCTAGGAAACGATAGTGTAACTATAAAAATGCTTACGCAATTTTATAAAATATCAATGTACTTACAATAAACATGGTGGTGATAGTAAGCAATAGAAACCTTATAGATTTCATATTGTATTCCGACTCCGTTTTATTGAATTTCATTTTTCGATTGTTTTCACTACCGTCCGTCATCTTGTCCATTGTTCATTCGTGTGTTGAATTATTTCGTCTTCAATTTTATCAATCTGATAATTTCGATGGCGGCCGATAATGGCGCGTTTTCCTTTTATCGTGTTAATGCGTTTTCCAACTACGTCAGTGTAGCACGAAGTATGAAACAAACACCCGATAAGCGTGCACAGACGCGACTAAACACCTGTGTGTCCGCGAGCTGCTATACTCGCTAGATAATTAATCTTTGAAATTAACGAGGCCATATACAACCTTATTGTAAACATTTCCCATTAAAAAGATAGGATATGCTTTTAATTCAATTGCTTACTTATTATGCGAATAGTTATTCTCAATATTTTTATTATTTTTGTGGACGTTACTCCAGAAGTTCTATTAAATTTTCCTTTGCTATTAATTTCTTTTAACTAAATTAATTACAATGGATGAAAACATGTTAATACATTTGCATCCGTAAATGCAAGCTATTTGCACTACATACATATAATAAACTACACGTAATATAAACATAGGAAGTAAAACAATATTACTATTGTTCAAATAGATGAAGTCTAGAGACTGCAAATTCCTTGCAACAAAGCAACCTCTTCTGTCCCCGATAGTCGGTAGATAGACGATATAAACAGTGGCAAGTTGTTCTGTAAAGAAATAACAGCGAAAACTACAAGAAATCCATTAAATCGTCAAGGACTCTATCCAAAAATTTTACACGCCAGTCTGGTAGTACTTAATAGACAAACTGTTGGTAATGTAATTCCAAGAACTAAAACACCAAATCGAATTACGCTTAAATATGGTGATGAAATTAAATTAATTAATTATTTAAAATTTAAGTCTTAATATCACAAATAGCTTGCCATTGGTCGATAAAGCATACACATGCAATCTTTGAAGCTATTAACAACACGGCGATAATCCTTATTGATAAGACGCGGAAAGAAACACCAAGAGAACAAAAAATATGTGTCATTAATTGTTGTGACGCGAAGTGTTTTTGCCTGAGGTGTGATATACCTTAGCCATGAAGGTCATAAATGAAGGTCATCAAATGTTTCTTTTCCCAGACAAATGAAACAAAAACAAAATAGTATAGATGAATAGGTTATATAAAACTAGTTTTCGCCAGCGACGTCGTCCGCGTGGAATTTTAAAAGAAAATTGAGTGGCCTACGTGTTCTTCAAGACTATCCTCTATGTCTATGTTAAATTTAATCGAAATTCGTTAAGCCGTTTAGGCTACAAACTCTAACAAACATCCATCCATCCATCTAAACTTTCGCATTTATAATATTAGTATAATTTGTACGCTACTATTCTTGACAGTAGAAGCAAGAAGTAAAAAATAGTAGGGGCAGTGATGAACTAAGTTAGTACTCTACTGTTTATTGTCTTGAACACCTACGAAAACATTCTTATCTCTGTTTTTCCCAAAAGAAATGATAGAAACGACAAGATTATAATAATGCGAGTAAAACGGATTTTCACGGTTATAATTCTTATTCACTTGTCATAAGATGTAAAATGCCAATTAGCATACCAAAGACAACGTGACGGCGACGGCTCATTAGCATGGATGTATTGTGTTATAGTTAACATCAACGGCTCAGAATGTTCCATGATATCTAGGACATATTGATATCGCTTATCAGTTACGTCCTTATCACACTTCGACCGCAGGTAAATGTACAAAGCCATTAATACTGTAATACAAAGATGTACTTGTATATCTATACTGATATTATAAAGAGGAAAGATTTGTATTTTTGTATGTTTTGCAATAACTCAAAAACTACTGAGCCGATATTAAAAAAATTTTACGGGTAGAAAGGCAATTTATGTGCAAGTAACATTGGCTATATTATTTTTTAATTTCACCTTTCGGATAAAAAAGAATTATCAAAATCGGTCCACTAGCGGCGGAGTTATTCCGTAACACACATAAAAAAAACATACAGACGAATTGAGTACCTCCTTCTTTTGGGAAGTCGGTCAAAAACTGATATAATCAAAATTCTTCATTCTTATTATGAACCTTTTGTCATTTACTAGAATAGCAATTTCTAGAAAATAGCATGGTTAATGTTTTGTGGTATACATCTACAGGATATTTTAATTCATTTACAAACTGTCTTTATGTCTGTACAATGTTGGCAAGTAATAAACATGGATTTTATCCGCTGAAACTCTTGTACACGACTCATCACTGAGTAGGGAGATGACCACTGTTAAACCAGTGTTAGAGTATTAGTAAATACATCAAATAACATCAGGTGATTGAAATTTTTTCAAACAATTTCTATATTAGTTATCCTCTGTTATCATTGTTGTACCAATTTTACACAAATGTGAATTATGAGAAAAAAAATTCATTAATTTAAAGCTAAAGAAAATCTGATTAAAACCAGGATTTATTAAAAACCTTATAATAAAAAAAAAAACTAGTGTCTCGTTTATTAACGAAAACGTTTATTGTAATAAAATGCTTCATATTTTATAATATTAAATATATTACATTATTTATATAAGAGGTGTTACGTATTAATACTTAATTTTTTAAGCTAATGTAAACATTAACTTTGAAGGTGTAACATAATTAAAATGAATGCATTTGTTGTTAAAAAAATTAAATTAAGACGTTCTACTAAAATACTCATTCGTCTCCTTCATAAATATAGATGTTGTTTACTTATAACTAAGTTTATTTCATATTTCTCACTTAAAAAGTTGTTAATTGCACAATTTCTTTCTATAAATACCGAGTAAAAATTGCTGATACTGACTAAAGCGACTGACAGATGTAGATCATATTTAATCTATGATGATTTTTTTTGCACAGACTAAAAACTTTTTAAGCTGTGGTTTGTCCGTGGAAAGGAACGTAAACAACTGGTGCCGCCTTCTCATTGTCGGGGTTGAGCGAGGTGTAAGCATTGATCATTCGCTCTTGAATCTCCCAACGTCTGCGTTCTCGCTCAGTTTTCGCTTTTCGGATGGAACTGGCCAGCGAGAATGAGAAAACGATGCCTATGATCTGAAAAAAGAAAAATGTAAATAATCATTTTTACAACAATTTCTCTAATCAGTTTCTTTTTTATATTGATCTTTTTATTGACTTAAAATATTTAAAAAACGTCGTTCTCTTTTCAACTAAATCTTTCAGTAATCGAGATAGAGTTCCATGGCATTGAAATATGAAAACCTGACAAGTTTGCTGCCGCCTTTTTTGTACGGTAGGATGATAAATATGGTGTTATTTTTAAAATAAGTGTGATACCTGGATAAAAGCTATAGTCATAGCTCCTGCACCCAACAGTCCTGCGCTCTGGTAGACCAGATAAATAACCCTGGGTAGGCAACCATTCGCGTACAGTTTAGTGCACTCGGCAATCTCCAAACCCTCGATTTCTGTATACCGGGACTGAGCGCAGCAGGAGTTGGGCACGGTGATGTTGGCGACTGAGATCCCGGTGATTCCCGCAGGCGTGTCCACCTCGCCCCAGTCGAGGTAGCTGTCCACACCACAACAATTCAACTGGAAAATAATAAAATAAGATTTTAAAATTTTTGCAAATGATTCGGACACGAAAAGAAACACAAATATTGTTTGGTTAAACTACGGACCTTCAAAACACAAAACAAAGAAGTAAAAAATGCGCCATCAGACGGTGCATAATTTGAATAAAAATATGTGAAAATATGTATTTTAATCAAAACATTACATAAATACTGAATTCTTTGAATATAAACTGTGTATTTAAATTTAAAAAAGTGCTACCATCGTTCTGCCAGACGAATATTCAATATGAAACAATTTCATAATTTGCGTCACAAAGAAGTATTTATAAAGAATCATATCAAAACACCTTATCTTCAATGTTTTTGTAGAGATTGTTCAGATAACGATGAAAAGCAAAATCCTAAACATACTAAGGATAACTTTTCATTCCCTAAGAGCCCGCGCACTCCTTTGACTGAACTATCGCACATCTGTTTAGTCTCGTTGCGATTCCTATGACGTACATAACTCGATTTTTAGTTGAGCAAATAAATAGTTGAATTGGCTGCGAAACAATCGCACAATAGTTGTGCGATAGTTCATCAAAAGTGTGCGCCCGTTCTTATATTTTCCAACATTATGTCACCTTTAAAGTTATGATGACATAATGATAAAACAGTATGTATCAACTCCTGTATTCTTAGATCGGTAATTCGATAGTATACTTACTCTGCTCTGGACGAAGTCGTACGCGGCCTCGATCTCCGGCTTCTCGTAGTAATAGGGCAGGGTCGTCCTGAGGTTGTCGTCGAGCATCTCTGACACCTGAGATCTCATTGCGTACGCGGTAATCGCTGCTGCCACTTCCAGCACCAGTACCACGCTCAGGATCACTGCGAACTGGAACGTAAAGCGAATTAATTAACATACTAGCTTATACCCGACTTCATCCGCGTGTAAGAAAATACAAAAGTAAGTAGCCTATGTGTTCTTCCAGACTATCTTTTATATCTATGCCAAATTTCATCAAGATCCATTCAGCCGTTTAGGGTACAAACTCTAACAAATATCCATCCATCCATCTAAACTTTCGCATTTATAATATTAGTATTAGTAAGATTAACATGAAAATGTTTTGTAATTGGTTGAGTAAATTTGCTACACAATGATTAGTGGTTACTTTGGCAATGTATGTTTATTTTGCTGATACTGATGTAAGGTTTCAATCTATCTATACGAAGAGAGCTGCCAGTAAGCATTCACACTGTGCCAGTTGGCAGTACCATAGAGCGTTACTGACCAACTGTACTGTCTTACTTTGAACCAATAGTACTTACAATATTAACCAAGCAGGTGCTCTCCTTCAGCGCACCAATGCATCCGAACAGGGAGACAAAGAGCATAATAACTCCAATAACAATGATGAAGGTGGCTGGAGAGAAGAGCTGGTCATCCAAGAAGTAGGAAACATCGTGGTAGATAGCGTATATCGTTGTACCCACTGAGATGATCAATGCTGATGTCAGCTGCAAGAAAACAATAACATCAATTAGAAAACACGTCTCATCTTACTTGATGAATTTGGTTTAGTCCAACCAGTTTCGGACCAGTCAGTCCATTATCAGGGTGAGTGATTCAAACAGTTTTATAAGAATCAAATGGTAATGAACCATTATAATTAGGTTAATTAACCTATCGTTTGATAAGCTAATGTTAAGTGTTATTTAATTTACAATTAATTTATTTTCCGCTTAGCTTGCTACGTTATTCATTTCTTACTAGCGTTCGCCCGCGATTTCGTCCGCGTGGAATTAAAAAAACAACAGCATGTTGTCTATGTATACTTCCAGACTATCCGCTACATCTATGCTATATTTCATCGAGATCCGTTCAGTAGTTTAGACTACAAACATCTATCCATCTATATAAACTTTTGCATTTATAATATTAGTCAGATTATTAAGAAGTTAGATATTACTACACTAAAAATCATAAAGTTAGTTACATGCATTTTGTTTTTAAAGACGACAAATACGATAGTATAAAATGACTCAGCGATAATTTGATATCACTTACCGAAATGTTTCTCATATTACAGTTACAAAGAGGCATTTTATAGGTGTTCTCGCTAATGAACAAGTGCAGTAAATGAGTGGTTTTTGTTATTACATAACAAAAGATTTCTTGTTAAACTAGAAATATTTGCATGTCAAAATTTGTTATGGCGATAAATAATTCACTGGATTTCGTGACGAAGCGAATGTACAAATATGTTTTGAATATATTTTCGTCAGTGAGAACCTACGCTTATATTTGTGAATCTCCTACAAGTTGGGTCAGACAGTCTATACCTTTTTTATCGGGGAGAAATCTTCAAAAAGATACCCTTCCTTCTGGGGGGAAGACTGGGTTATGTGAGGTTTGTACCCACTAAAACCCCCCTCGGTGGCCAGCCTCTAGTGCCATACAAGATTGTTCCAGGATCTCCGTGAAACTCACCAGAACCTTCGGCACTTTACGACACAATACAGGACATCTCCTGATGTTTCACGTTATAGCAACATAGGACTACGCTATGGCACCATCCACCCGGACTATTTTGATACGATTAGGGCCCTCACCCTTATCGCCAATGGTCCCAAGAGTCCCTTACGGTTAAGAGACTAACGGTTTAGACTATCTATACCTAGAAAATCACTCTTTAAGAGGCCAAAAGAGAAAAAATAATGACTTGTCTCGTGGTGAAAAGGTTATCATTGTAGCAATTAATTAACAGGGAGTAATTATTATGTACTTACATCTTATTTAAGTTAACATGAGGGAGCAAGACTGATGACCAAGTTGTTTTGAGTTCTAACTTTTAGGTTATGAATGCTAATTATGCCTAAGTATTGGAATAACGAGGTAGATATTGTAAGCGGTGTGAAAAATCGATAACATAGCCGTTGAAGAATGACCGCGCGACCGCTGTGACCTTGCCGACTCAAGGTCAGATGCTACCTGGTTAAACATTAGTTGGATGGAATTACAACCAGGTAATATAAGTACTTAGTTTACCGTCGTCTTTTTCCTTTAGTTGTTTAGTGAAACATTTTCCAGATAAGTACTGCACCAACGAAATAATGTAGACGTGTAAATTGTGCTCCATAATATAGTTCTGTGATTTTTATTTACAAAACTTCTTAAAGAAACATCAAACATATCTATCCATACTCATATTATAAAGTAGAAAGATTTTTATTTTTGTATGTATTGAAATGACTCAAAAACTTCTTTCACCAATAAGAAGCTACGTAACACTGACTACCGCGGGCTACGTTTATTACTATTTTTTTAATTCCACGGGACGAAGTCACAAGCAATAGCTAGTTGTATTGTATTTTTATATATTACGCATACTGTTCTGGAGCCTAAAATTCAATAACTTTCGTTTGTAAACTTTTATTGATGTGGCAATTCTGAATACAGCAAGGAACATAATACGTATTGCGATTTCAATATCAATACAGAAATTTTCTATTGTTTATCTAATACTAGCTTTCGCCCGCGACTCCGTCCGCGTGAAATTAATAAATAATATGAAACATAGCCTATGTTACTCACTGACAACGTAGCTTTTTAATGGTGAAAGAATTTTTGAAATTGGCTTAGTAGTTTTTGAGTTATTTCATTACAATCAAATAAACAAAGTTTTCCTCTTTATAATATTAGTATAGACATAAGAAAAAAACTACCCTCCCCCGTCATTTTCTCCCCTAACCTTCCCAAAGGAATGAAGGAGCACGACTAGAATTGAAAAAGTTAAAAGAAAGAATAATCGAAACGTTTCACGCCTTATTTAAGTGGTTTTATTTCTCAAACAATATTGATTAAAGTCGTCTATCTGAGGTAAGTAACTAGAACGACAAATTAAAAACGAATACACACGTCACGTTAAAAACGTCTGAAAGCCATTATCTATAAATTCTGAGTAAACCATTGTGTTTAAAACATGTTTCATGCATTAAAAACACACACAAACGGGAAATTACCCAAGTCAAACCCCAATCAGTAGATAAGATAGTAAATCATAATTGTACAGATAATTTTTTCATATTCTATTATTAAAAAAGTACAAAACTAAATGATATGTCGCGTCTGGTAGAGAAATAATATTTTAAAATTTTACCTACTTTTGGGAAAAGCCAATATAATATTGAACAAAGTTTTTACGTCACCCATACAAGGAAACTTAGTCCATTTTACCACCATCGTATTGTCAGCTATGTTAAGTTACAAATGAGTTTGTAATTTTATTGAAAATTACAAAACTAGTTCATGTTATAAAAACCTTTTCAGACATTACAAGCCTTTACTAATACCGTAACTATGTTCTGAAACTGCCTTAATCTTATACCAAATATATGACGTCAGACAATGAAATCTAAAATGTATAGATTATTACCGTAGTAAATTTCTTTCAAAAATTTGTATTGCAAAATAAGATATGATTCTTACGATATTATGACTTTTAGGAGACAATAATACGTTCATAAAATAGCTATCTACATCGACACAATAAAAATCATTGCACAGATATCAGACAGTATCTTGATAAGAATATGACGCATACGATCGAAAAAAACAAATAAAAAACCAAAAAAACTCACCACAAATATCGCCGTAACACATAGGAGCATATATTTAATGCACCTCATTCCCACTTCAAGGTTATTCGCCATATTTACACTGTATTACACTGTACTTCGTGGCTTGTGAAACAATACTAATGCGTTGAAAAAGTTTTCAGGGCGAAACTCGTTATCAGCAATGATAAGGTATCGCCCGCGCGACACGAAGCCTGACTACACAATGCTATGAAAGACGATTTTTCTTTAGCCAATTAACAAGTACATATAAAGCTAAAGTGGTAATGTAAATATGCGTTTTGCGTACACTTTAGGACTTGCGTTTACGTTCGCGTTTGCGTTCGTTGTGACTATTTTTAGTAAACAGAGATACTTGTGTTACGTATTTTAATCAACAATCAGCTCATGCTACACAGACATATTATGCAATAACAAGGTTTTCCTCTGATAGAATAACAGCGAATCTCGGGATACGACCTTGTATTATTAATTTCTATACTATTCTATAGAATGAATCGCATCGGTCGAATCTGCATAACATCAATACATAATAATTTAGTTTTGTAAAGCATTGATGAGCGTAGTTATTTAACAGAAAAATAACATGTGATTGTCGTAAAAAAGATAAAAAGACGACACCAACAAGAATGTGAGTATAGTTAATATTTAGTTTCTTATTGTCGGAAATTTCATAATGATTTTAAGGCATTAATATTTGCAATTCGTATTTGCCCATTATATAGTTATATTCTTCCAAAAAACATAAAAAATCTTCGCTTTATTGCGGAAAAATATGTAACAAATATTCTTTCCATATTAGGATGCTTCTAGAAAATATCGATGATCGATGAAGCGAAGTAAAGACAGCGATTGAAGCGCCCCCAAGCGAGAAGTTTTATATTTTTAGTTAGACTACATATTGATGCATTTGTTTTAGATTCAGTACACCTTCAAGAAGGGAGCCTAGCATTTCCTTAAAGACCGCCAACGCATCTGTAGTTCCTCTGATGTTGCGAGTATCCATGGGCGTCGTTGACCACCTCTGTGTTCCCGCTAGTTTGCCCCCTTTTATTATAAAAAAAACAAGTACATAGAACAGTCTCGATACTAATATGTGAATCGTGTAAGTATTACCTTCATTTTAGTTAAGCTTCTTTAATCCGCTTTACTATTTAGTAAAAAATAAATAGGATTACTTATGTATCGCTAGGTCACTTTTACTGTTTTAAGAAAGGTTTTAAATGATATTACACACTGTTGAGTTAAATTTTTATTGTTCTTAGATAAAATTAGAGACAAGTCCCTTTGGAATTATCAAGAAACATTGGCACGACATATATGAATACTTTGTTTTATAAAGTAAAGAGTCTAAGATTACCTAATTATATTCTAACCAAGAATATAAAAATTCTGGCTTGAAGAGCGCTTTAATCGACTTTTACATTGCATCACTTTCTAATGTAAATAATTTTTTGCCATATATTGCGTAAGACATGGGGGTTTTTATATTCCTGGTCAGAATTTCAATAAAAATATTACACCGAAACTACTCAAGTTACCTTTGTTTGAAATACTACTTAACTGTAACGAGAAAGTAATTATAAATTGTGTTTATAATCTGTTCAAATCATGAACTTTCGAAATGTCTCCTCGATACTGCCAAAATGTGTCATAATCGGCTGTCAATTGTTATTTTTAGCATTTCTTACATGTTTTTTTTAAATTCCAAAACCATAATAATTAGTAGCGGTGTTGTAGTGGTATATTTACAATATGCAACAACTTAAAACTAATAACCCAGTGTCTAAGAAGTTTCTATAGTTTTAGGTTAAATGCCATTTGCGAAAAAGAAGAAATCAAATTTTAAAATGAGAAATGTCAAACTTTTTTCATTGTCTTTTTTCTGTAAATATTACGCAATACATGTTTCTTTGCTCGATTAAAAGTGATTTTTTTATTATAATATTATAAAATCTTATATCAGAATAGACATTTAGTGGTAATATTTTTTCTGTTTCTCATATTTTTACTAAAATAATATAAATCCAAAAATAAAACAATAAATAACAATCACACTCCTCTCGGATGCGTCTGAATTTACATTTCAATGTTTCCTAAATAATTAATTAAATAATTTTCTATACTTTAAACTATTGTTAATTGAAGGCGTGTTCCTGTCTCGATATCTTGGCCAGCCATACCGCCCCCGCCACCGCCAACGCCTGAAATATCATTATTGACATATTATAATACCATTATGAATGCTAAAGTCTAGATGGATGGATGGATATTTGTTACTAAGCTTCTCCAGAACGGTTCATCTTATCTCGCTGAAATTTTGCATAGTTGAAAGATTTTTATAAAAAATCCAGATTAAAACAATGTAAAGCACTCTTAAGCGATTTTGACAAACACGCAGGAAAAAATTGACATATAATTTATTGGTTTATCGGGCGTTTAAAATCGGGTTTAAACTTCTGCAAAAAAAAAACGAACCAATCAGAAATTAATTTGTTGTTATTTTTCTTGATAATATGTTTTACTTCCTTCTTCTATACTAATCTATATAGTTATATTCTATTATTATTAAAAAGATTTTTTGTATGTATTGGAATAACTCAAAAACTAATCTTTCGACGTTAACAATTCTTTCACCTTTAAAAAGCTACGTTATCAGTGAGTAACAGAGGCTATGTTTTTTAATATTTTTTAATCTCACACGGACGAAGTCGCGAGCAACAGATAATATATGATTTTTAGTCATACCTGTAACAAAACCATGAAGATTCCTGTAATGCCTATCGCTGCGGCGTGAGACTGGACCCAGGAGCCGAAGGCGTCAGTACAGCCCACGTTGTACGCTACTGTGACGTTGCACACGAATGTCTGGATAGTGCCGTACACGTGGTCGCAGCAGCTGACCGGCACGCCCAGTGTCTCCGTCGTGCCGAGGGGCAGAAGCCAGTCGCTGGCGTTGGCTACGCCGCAACATGAGAACTGGAAATGATTGAAGAGTCGAGTTAGCATAGTAAGGACATGCCAAAAATCAATGAGCACATTTAATACGTCGATGATTATATTATTTATTTCCTCTTGTATTTCCAAAGATAGAAATCATGAAAATATGGTTCTAGGAAGGGCTCTTTTTTTGTTTTTTTTTTCAAAGAGAATGAACTTATTCCGTATGAAAGTAAGAGCGGGTGCAACTTTGAATAAACTATCGCACAACTGTTGTGCGATTGTCGAATATTTCGCAACCCATTCAACTGTTTAGTTGTTTAGTTTTAAGTATGTGCATGTTCTTTCAGAGAAAACTTTGTTTTTATATACACATTCTAGCAGCGGAATTGGTTTTAGGTTTTGACTGTTTTTGTACATTTTTAATATGCGAAGTACTTTGTGTTCAAACAATGTAAATGTGTACTCACATCTTCTTGCATTTCATCCCACAGTTTGGTGACCCCGAGGTTTTTGTTGGCGCCGTACAAATCCATTGTGCCCAACAGTGACTGCTGGACTAACGCAACCGTGTTGCCTTTTAGTGCGTAGCCAGCAATGCACGCCGACAGTTGGAATATGAACATCAGGATCATTGAGCCAGCGAACTGGAATACAGGATATCATACAATCTCTATATGAATAAGAAAAGTCAGTCAGTGAAAAATTTAAGTTAAGCATGAGCTTTAGACTATGTATTTTCACGCCATTAAACATAGGGGGTTAATATTTTGGATAAAAACCCTAATGTGTGAAAGAGACCATAAGTTGCTGCCAACATCAAGAAAGCAAAATTGCCATAGTAAGGTAATTGGTATTTTGACATTTGCAATTGATTATTTGACACATGTAAAGTATAAAATAACATTTTCATTAGTTTATGCGGATGAAGTCGCAGGGGAACAGCTAGTATTAGTATGAAGTGAAAGAAATTCGATGGACAATAATAGTAACAGAGAAGTGTATTCTTAAAAATATTTCGTAAATAATAATTAGCAATCGTGTTATATTTTCTTTTAAAAGCTGCAAGTAACTTAGAAAGTTCAATAGCATCAAAACTGTGAATTAGCTACAAAACTGCTAAATACATTATATTAGAATATGCGTAATTTCATCGAAAAATTATTGGCTACGAGCTTCATTTCTTGCCACCTGTACATTTGCTATGCCGTTATCCATCCATTTTATATTCAATTTTTTATTTTTTCCCGAAACATTTATCGTATTTTATGATAAAGTTCATTGAAAAGTAGATAATGTGAAATTTACAAAACAGAAGATATGTTGAATCAAAGTCTTAACTAATTGATATACGAAACATGCTGCATAAATTATAAGTGACTGATAGCGAGCAATCCTTTTGATATATTTTGAAACACGTTCTCAATAAATGTTTTGTATAACTCCATACCTAAGGCCTGTCCCACCAAATTGTAGATTGTCTGATAACAATCCAACGTGTAAAATATGTGATGGACATATAGCATTTTGTTACCTTATCAGTGACGTCATTTTTAAGCTATCTGGGCCTCTATCAGCCAGTGGTGGGACACTCCCTTAGAGTAATGTATTTATTTGATTGAAAAATTATTCGTAAGACAATATAGAGTCGTTTACTCTTAAAAAACAACTCAGTGGAATTTCGATTAATTTGTTTTTTTTTTTTAACGTCAACAACAGGAAAAACGTCTCCATTCTACAAACCTGTTAGGAGTTTTGATCAATATGGGAAATTACGATCGTAAATTATTGTAATAATCAAATTCTATAGAAAAAAAATTATTATATTTCAATAGAAGACATACTGGCAACTACTAATCATTAGAAGAAACAGACCTGCCAAGTCAAATTATTAACAAAATATACAACGATTCTGCCAAAGCATTGTCTGTCTTATTGTCTCGAATCTATTTCTAGGTTTAATAAAGCTGTGTTATATTTAACTACAAAATGCTTCAAATAATCGTAGTTTAAAATGTTTGTTAAGAAAAATAAAAACTGTTGTTAAAGTGTTACGTACATCATATTTCATTTTTGTACAATAAAACAATTTTGTGTGTCATCTACATTTTCAGGTTAATTATGTATCGCTTCATAAAACTTAAGGTATCTTTGACTAATTTTATGGCATATTCACTTGAAATAAAACCCCTTAATTTCTTAGAAACAAAATTGTAAATTAACGATAACCTAAATTTAAATTAACCGCTACAAGCAAGATCTGTGTTGTCATTGAAAGCGCGCTGTCATAATGTCTGATAAAAATAGATTATACAAGTAGCTCCGAAACACAGTTAAATAAATATTACGTCCATCCTTGTGTTTCTTAGGTAATAACTTACCGCCATATTCATGTAATAATTCTCCATATAAGCTCCATAGAATCCGAAAGAGGCGATTATGAATATAATTACTCCCGTCGCAATGCAGAAAGCGGGTAATGAGAAAAATCTCTCCGAAAGGAATTCATGGTAACCATTGTAGGCTGACTGCACTGAACTACCCACAGATAATATAACAATACCCGTTATCTGAAACATAAATCACTTTCAATATCACTTGCATTTCTTTTTCAATTCGAAAATCGAACGCACTGGCACAAAATAACTTACCAAAAAAAGAAAGTTCACTGTCACCAGCGTGTATTTGACAGTTGTGAATATTTTCGACCACATATTGATTTTATTTTCCCGACAACGCAACGATCGCGCGATACGTCCTCGTGACAAGTTGATGTCGTATTGTGTAGTTCGGATATTTTTATCAGTACAGTAATCTTGATAAGGAAAACAAGCGGATTTATCTTGCCCGCCGCTGCCGTTGCCTCGATTGAGTTTTCACAATTACCACCATACTTCTCGTCATATGAGGCCTCTAATATTTACCCTTCGACAATATTAAAAAGATAAATCTAAAAATAACGGCATAATTAATAATAGATTATTGCGACAATTACCAGACGTTAATGTAATTATTATTATAACGACATAATTAATTATATTTCTGGACTAATATTCCGTGAAAATTGTCAATCCTAATTATACTTAGTTTGTCCAAGAAAATTCCCCTCCCTCACCCTCACCATGCGAAAAATAATAGAACTAATTACGAAAGACGATTATAACGCCCCCAGATCAGGAGTTTCATATTCTCGGTTCAGCCATATTTCACCATATATAACCAAAGAAATATAGCATTTTATTAAATAACATTTCACGGATCACTTGAAACAGTTAACTATACGGACTACGAGGTTAGTAATTGGGTACTACACTAAGATATTTGTCTAATTTTTCACAACATTCCTGCAATAATTCCAAATTAAAGTGCAATAATAAAACTAAATTAATCACTTACCAATATTTATTGCAAATTATTTTAAAACTCCAAAAATAATAGCGAAAAATGCAATGATTTAACCACCAAAGGATGGACGTACAACACATCCAGTTGTGTGATAACACACACTTGAAGTTAACAATACAATCTAATTTACATAGCTATCTGCCCAGTTTTTATTACACTAATTAGTTACCACATTTGAAGGCACGATTGCTCACTCATTTAGCGAATGTTCGATGTAAATACGGCCCTGTACTGTAACGCTTGAATGAATATTAAAATAACTGCAATGAAAACTTGTTATTTTTGAAACTATAAACAATCATTGATGTTTTTGATCAATTTTTTTTCAGTTTTTTATAATCTGTATCCATAAAACTTTATTCTATATATGTGCAGTTATAACGTTATGAATAAAATAACAGTATTATATTTAAAACATTTATTTTAACGAAAACAAAGGAACTATAAATTATAGTGTCACATTATATTTTCACAACGAACAATCCAATTGACACTAATTCGAAATTAATACAACTCTTACAGCACACATGAAACTAAAGTATTCGACTAAAGACTATCTACAAAAATAACTATTTGTATTGACCATCCTAAACCTTAACTAAAGTTTTTAAAACAATACACTGACTTAATCTAAGACTCCAGTTCGACTTCCTCGTACTTAGACCTCCAAGCCAGCCAGCCCGAAGCGACAGTGATCAGCAACTTGAAATAATAAGTAACTTGCATCATTTAGGGTTGGTTAGAGCCCCTCTGTATAATGACATCATTTCACTAATATATTATGTTGCGTGCACAATAACATTAAAGTAAAATGCGACAGCCCTGTCCATGTCCCAACCCTGAAGACATTAATTAACGAAAGTAAAAAAAAAAAAACTTTTTATGACAACGCGTAGTGATACCAAGTGGGATTATTCCCAACCGTCACCCCACTCTGTACCCACGTGAGAATAAAAAGTTTCATCAGTCCCACGTTTAGTCCCACTATCATCAATAAGGTGACAGATGAAATCGTTAGTAGACATAAAATAAGTTCTAACCGTCCCCTCATCGCAGATGGTGGGAAGGATTTTTTATTCTCAACTGTCCCCACGTGGGGACAGAGCGGGATGAGGGTTGGGATTAATCCACCATGTGAGTAAGTGAGCCCACTTGTGAGAAAAACGCTCGAACGATTACTCCCCAAGTACAATTGCCATCTTCCTTATGCTTTCTACTCGTCCACTATTTATGACCGCATAGTATGTACTATACCTGTACTCCAGTGACTATTGCTGCTACAACACCGATGACGTAGGCATAGTAACTCAACCATTCGCCGAGAGCGCTCGCGCAGCCAACGAGGTAAGAGTTGGCGGTAGTGCAGACGAACGGCGAGACCGTGCCGTAGTCGATGTGGCAGCAACTGACCGGGATGCGGTCACGTGCCCAGTCGTTCCGACCTGCCACACCGCAGCATTCAAACTAACGACATAAACAAAAATCATAAAATCTAAATGCCCCTTAAACCGAAACATCTCCTTATATTGGAATACTGAAAGTCCCGAAGAACAAACTCAACTGTAAGGTAAAAGACACAGATAAAAAAAGGTTTTGTTCCCCTTTATTTCTTTAAGAATCGCAGGTTTAAAAAGTCTCCCATATAGCGACATCTAGTGGTTAGTAGTGGAACTATAAAATTAGTTTATGTTTCTAAACGATTTCTTTTTACTACTATTTAGGAGTCACAATTTTTTATTACTTACTTCCATTTGCAAATCGTCCCATAGTTTAGCGACGTCTCGCCGTGTTTCGTAAAACTGAACGCTCTGTATCATAGGAGCTCTGATTTCCGATACGGCATCATTTTTTAATCCGAATGCTACAACCGTCATTGCTATTTCAAACACCAAAGTCGTCAGCAAAAGTACTACATACTGAAATCATGATTAAAATTTTATTTACCTCTACCAAAAATTACCATTGTCATAGGCAAGCACCTAAATACTATACGACCAATAAACGTGCAACTAATTACGCCTAAAAACAGACAAAAAATACATCTTTAAAATTTTAGCGTCCTTTCTCATTACCATTTTATCGTCTATTTAGGATAGCGTGTTAGGTGCACTAGCTATTACCTAAAAGAAACACTTACCGCAGCAATAAAATAGAAATTTTCAGAAACAGCGCCATAAAATCCTAGAACGGACGTCAATATTATAATTACACCAGTAGCAATCACGAATCCTGGCAGTGTGATGAAGCGTTTTGTCAGCAACACATTGTAGTAGGAATACTCCAAAACTGCTACTATTCCGATTATCAAAAGAAGAATTCCTGTTAGCTGAAAATAATATTATAAAATTATAAGCAATTGATGATTTCCACTGTACTGGCTGTATAATTGTAAACAAGAGGTCTTAAAAACACTTTACACTGATTTTAAATGGTTTGTTTCTGTCCCCTATATTAAATTTCCGACAACGTACTTATCGGCTTTTTTTACAAAAAAAATCAGCAAGATTTCTATCCCTACAAACTTTCTTACCCAATAAATCGTATTGACACCAGCTAATGTGTACCTCACTGACTTTAATACTTTAGGAACTTTCATTTTTTTTAAAAAGCCAACAAAACGATCCTGTTAAGCTAATTCTTTACCGTACTCAACGAGTAAAAATAGTGATTCGCTATTGAAATGGTTTTTATCAATCTAAGTATCATCAATATCTTGGTTATCTCGACATATTCTTCTCGTCTTATCAATTTAGATATTCAAAAACATTGAACGCATTTAGGATACTTTAGATTTAGTTTTTTTCTTTTTGTTGCTAGAATTTGATCATTCATCTGTTTTGAGATAAAACTTTAAGATAACGGTAAAATTTGGAAACATAATTTAATCTTAATTCCTACGTGTAATGAATACCTATGCCTGAATTTTAGCAACTTTATAACTGTTACAACTTGTTTCTAAAATCAAAATAAAGGACGTTAATATTTTTTTGTTTTAAGAATGGTATCACCTTTTGGTAGCTTTAGTAGCATGGTAGCATTCGATTGAGTAGTAAGATTTCCAAGAGCGACTAGCAACACAGCCATTCGGTGTTTTGGTTCGATAAGTCGACGCTTGTCGCTATCCCGTTGTTTTTGTTGAACATATTGCGCATAAATTGGTAAGTTATTATTATACTCACAGAATTATAAATACAACTTTAAGATGTCCATTTATTCCTAAAATAAAAAAAAAATAATGATTAGAAGTTGGGTAAAAAAAGATATCTTGCAGGGCGTGTTAAACCCTCTTCACTTGTGTCAACAACGCAAATCAATGTTTTACTTTCGGCGCAGAGTGGGAAAGGAACTATTTTTTTTTATTTTCTTTCAGATTAAAGTTGAAATTCTAGAAAAATAAAATACTACTAAGATGGCTATCGGGGTGGGAATGTCGTGTGTGAAGTACCTACTCTTTTGCTTCAATCTTTTGTTTGCGGTAAGCATTTTTTTTCTCGAATGTTGTTTACCTTGCAGACAAAAGAGATCCAAATATCTCGTACATTTGAAACATTTTAAATGACTATAACTATGGATATAATAATTAAATAATTACCCGTGATTGAAATCAGGTTTATTTCCTACTGAGTATTTATGACTCAGAGTGCTGACGATTGCACAATATCAACTTTTTTTTTTAACTACGAGGAAGGACAAAGTTGTTTTAAAAAATTAGAAAAGAACTAAAGTCACTGGCATATATTAATAATCACTTATACCTGATTAAATACCTAAAATTGATGTAAATGTATTTTAATATTTTAAGATACATAGTTTAGTAGCTAAGTCTAATTAATATTGATTTTTATTTAATCTTCTTAGAAGGAAGATTCTTTTCCAGCTTAATTTCTGATAGAGATAATTTTATTATTAAAATTTATCACATTTCATATGCTTCATATTATATTCATAGCATTATTTCCGCCATTTTGTTTGTATACTATTACATTATAATAGAATTTACACAAACCAGTGTGATCATAGCATTTTACTCATATACCTTTTTTTTTTAGTTAACCGGCCTGATCATCCTGATTGTTGGTATTTGGGTTGAAGCGAACTCCCATCCTTATATCAACCTTACCGATGAAGGCTTCTACACTACTGGACCTGTAGTCCTCATTATCGTTGGAGTGATTGTGTTCATAGTTGCATTCTTTGGTTGCTGCGGTGCTGTGAAGGAGAACCATTGCATGATAGTAACGGTAAGTAAAGATAACTTCATCAGTTAATTATTACTAGCAATAATTACTAGTATTTTGAAATACTTTTTAAATAAATTTTGCCAACTCCTCTCATGTCCGTCTGTTATTAATTTTTATAAATCTTTCTTCTTTTGTGTAACACTGTATATTTTTTTGGATGGCAATAAAAAGATTTTTTGTAATTGAAATAACTCAAACACTACTGGGCCTACTTTAAAAATTCTTTTACCATTAGAAAGCTACATTTTAGCTGAGTAACATAGGCTATTTTATTACGTGGACAATATCGCGAGCAATAACTAGTAATTAATATTATAAACGCCTCATGAAAGTTTTCATCATTCAAAAAATCGGGTTTATTTAATTTATCTCATATGTTAATAATTATGAATATCTGATGCATTTGATTATGCTATGACCTTGTCACATAACTTACCTGAACATGTGCTTATATGTTATTAAGTAAGTTATTAAGTGAAATAAACAACCAGTTTAATTTTTTTCAACATATAATACATTTTTGCAACAAGTAATATAACAATCTCAACATAATAAGTAATTCTTGTATTTACGTTATCATGTTTTTGCAATATAACGTAGCTGCATAGTTTATTGTCCTTTATGTTGAGATCAAAATGTCAGTGTGCTGATAATTGTAGGAAAACATACATAATGTTTAACAGATTTTAGTGTATTTTAAACGTTCACAAGTAAAAAAACTTACTATAACATAATATCAAGTTTCTAATGGAAATACAAAACAATAATTGTAGATCTACAACTGAAATTTTAAAATATACCATAGAGCCAAAGGGCCAGCATTCTTTGCCCTAGTCACCCCTAACTTGTGTAGGCTATGAGACCCTCAGTACTGACATATAGTGACAATTACAAAGATTTGAATATATGCTAGAGATCTAATTCTACTTGGCTTAAAACAAATGAATCAAGGGAAAATTTTAATTAAAATTAATTCTTCAAACATCCAATTTTAGCCGTCTGTTCGCTTCTTACGATATACCTTAACTAAATGTCGGTCAGACTGCAATTGTCCCGAGAAGCCGTGACCTCTGGCACGAGCCGTCTCTGTCCGCTAATCAGACACTTCCTCGTAAGCAGTTAATGAGCCCTTTTGTACATTCTATCAAATATTTGTAAGAGTGACTAATAGGAAATCATCCTTTTCCCGTCATTAAGTTAACGACCACTTTTTAAAACTACGTATAACTATCCGTTAAATAAAAAAAAAAAACTTTTTCCTTATAACTCAAGTAACAGTGAACAGGTCACTCTCCAAAACAGGTTCTATCATTTAGACAATTCTACATACATAAATGCCATTCTGAGACAATCTGGTAGAAAATACGTAATAATTCCAATTCCGTTCGTCAAGTTATAGCAAAAATTTAATCAAAATGACAGTATTTAATCATATAAAAAAACAAGACGGATATCTAAGCCTTAATATTGACAACCCTAGGTCTTAATTGAGATCGTTAGGCCGCTGTCGAGATGTCCACTTAGTCAATTTGGTATCCGATATTATCTGGTTTTATCTAGAGCAACAGGTACACTTATCTTACTAAAATAAATGCGAAAGTTTAGATGGATGGATGTTTGAGTTTGTACCCTAAACGACTGAACGGAGCTCCATGAAATTTGACGTAGACGATGGAAGAACACACAGGCTACTCAATTTTGATTCTTTAATTTCCACGCGGACGGACTTGCGGGCGAAAGCTAGTAATTTACCAGTTTTGTGACTGAAATTCTGACTTTACATCTTCTAACTTTGTCTGTAGCTGTGTCTATAGATAACACTAACAAAAGCCTTCCTTTCCGTTGCAAATAGGTTATACATGATAGGATAATCCTAGTGACTTCACCTAGCATTAGTCACGATCCACACACAATTTCAAACATATTCTGATATTATATCTCTCAAAAACTATTACAAAAGGGTATTTCTAGATTTTTTTAGATCGATGTCATTGATACGCGCATTCTTAGAGAGTGCGCACACCTTTAGACTATCGGACAAGTCTCGCTTTGATTCTTATGGAAGTGCGCACACTACTTGTATCTTAGTTGTGCGACTAAACAGTTGAATGAGCAGCGAAACAATCGACAATCGCACAACAGTTGTCTTAGTCAAAACTATTGTATACAGTGATTCTTGCATATTGTTTGCATGTCATATAGACGTATTATTTCTTATTTCTATGAATAACTCGAGTGCATAACAAACATTATCAGTAACAAGTACTAACGTTATTAGATTTATCATTATCTATAGTAATATAGTTAAGTATATCAGGTTTTAATGAATGTCTATATTTATGTTAGAAACATCGGTTTTTATGGTAATTATTAGTGGTCCATAATATCTCACGGTTTCATGAAGGTCATATGTTCACATTAAAATTCCTATATGTTACAGATAAAGATTTGGTTTTATAATATTTTATTGCATAATCTATAGTAATATAATATAAAGGGGAAAGATTTGTATTTTTGTATGTATTGAAATAAATACCCAGCCGATTTCAAAAATTCTTTCGCCATTAAAAAACTACGGCATCAGCGAATGACACTATTTTATGTCACAGGTATGAATAAAATTATAAAGAGGAAAGATTTGTATTTATGTATGTATTGAAATTTTTGAAAAATTCGTTCATTATTAAAAAGCTCCGTTATCACCAAGTTGCATAGACTATATTTTTTTATTTTACGTGGACGTAGTCGCAAGCAACAACTAGTTACTTTATAAAAATATATGAGTATGAAAATAGATTTTAAATAGATATAAAAATCTGTCTCGCATAATTCCCTTCTGATTTTAATTCGAACCGTTATTGTTGCCAAACTTTGTGTACAAGTGGCATTTTAATTGTAAAAACAACGAGGGAATGCAGGTTGCCAGCACATCCGATTGACACAATAACAACCGCAGCATTACACGAGCATTCAACCTTATTTTTTATGGTGAACAAGCAATACGATATTCATGCGAATCTTGTAATTGCCATTTATAATAAGAATTCATTAAAATATAACGGACAAGTGGCGTAAGATAGTTATTAATGTTATCTAAACATTCATAACAATTTCTTTGTATCTCAATCACGGCATATAAATAATCAAGGATAATAAGGCAACTCTACACAAAAACCCACGTAAACATAACCATATGCATAAATGAACCTACAGAATAGATAAAATAACTTAAACAAGAATAAATTTACGTAATATTTTTATCCATTTGAAACATGTGTAAAGTATTATTTTCGTTTTAAAAATTGCAGGCTTATTGCTTCATTTCTAGTCACTACAGTACTCTAGTTAGTTTTTGAAAGAGAATAATAATGCTGATGGTGTGGTACAGGTGCAGAATTTCACGATGTTCACTGCACTTGCACTATTTACAGCAATATTGCCCTGTACCTGCTTAGTGTAAAACTATTTAACTACGTCGTAGACTTTGACTCCAAAAATTAAACAGAAATGGGATCCACCTGCAAGCAATACCTGTCGGATAAAAAAAAGAATTATCAAAATCGGTTCACTAACGGCGGAGTTATACCGTAACACACATAAAAAACATACAGACGAATTGAGTACCTCCTTCTTTTGGAAGTCGGTCAAAAATGTCTCGACTATACTTTTTATACAGGTGGATACTTAAACAATATCTATTATATATCACAATTTCTATAATACTTTTCCATTGTGACGTATACGTCCGGTAAGTAAAACAATATTCACATTGTTATTGTGTGGCATTATCGGGCATGTTGTGATTCAGAGCGCAGAAATATCATCGCTCACGTGACCACTTCGTAATACGTTGCGTTGGCGAGCTTGCTGGCCGTTTAAATAATGTCAGTAGCCCAGTATAATAATGAATTTAGAACGATATAATGTTCCCAAAATGATTGTTTGATTTTCCAAAAATCTATGCATTAGCAGGCCACCTTTGACTAAACTATCGCACAACTCTTGTGCTATTATCGATTGTTTCGCAGCCAATTCAACTGTTTAGTTACACAACTAACTACGAGCTTATGGTCATAAGAATCAAGGCGAGACTAAACAGTTGTGCCATAGTTTAGTTTCACGCTCTAAACAGTTTAAAAGCTATAAAACTCTTTTCAACCATTATAATAACAAAGCATTAACATAATCATATATTAACTGTTACTTAGTGGCTTAATCGTCACTAAGGGTGTCCATTAATGAGTTTGTACGAGAATTCAGCAAACTAGTTACTTTCAGTAATAAACGTTGGCTTTCAAATACAATATCCCAGACGTAGCTAAACGTGTATGTGTTGTGGGGTTATATCGTGTCGGATACGCCCACACCCCGTCTCCCCTACCCTGTCATCCGGGCGACTTGCTGGCGCCGTCTAACCCAAGAGCTTATCGATCGATAACCACGTACAGGATGTTTCTAATTGTGTCAGATCCTAAAAGACTACCAGTCGCAAATATTTTCGAATTGTAGCTTTGATATTTTTTTTGGTTATTTGTCTCTTCAGATATTTAAATGACAATGTTTTTGTACATTTGAATCTTAATATAACGCCTAACTAGAATAACTAGCCAGGCTGATCCAAGGTGACTCTTTCAAAGGCCAAATCGGCTTCAAATTAAATTAGTCATGTTTCAATACAATGCTTACATTATTTTTACATTAAATGGAACAAACTTTATTACTATTTAGTTGTTCAGCATAACGTATTTGTCTAAAATCTACGCTAAGAGTTTCCCTAAGTGTAGTTGGAAGTTTCGAATTTAACATAGAAGTAGTCAAATGACATGTAATGATGGATATAACAAAAGTTAAGTTTAAAAAAAAAAACAGGTTTATTTTAATAATTTTGTAAAGTAAAGGCCCGAATGAATGCAAGGCCGTCCGCACATGCAACATACGTTCACTTTAAACGAACTGTGTCCCTAACCGTCGGAATATCGATAAACTCTTTGAAAAACCGTGATAACTCTGTTTATATTACACCACGTAATACCTAACCTAAGGATACTTATTTAATATGGTTGTCTTATCGTTCTTTATTTGCCTTCATATAAATAATAACTTAAAGCACTGTCAATTGTTTTGAAGGCGACTATGACGTCATCAGACAGATCATTTACAGCCTTTATGTTAAACTCAGATCGCCGGGGAGTCCCCGATAAATACGTCATAACTGTACACTCTCTGGCACTGTTATTAGTTACTTAAATTACATGGAAGTCAATATAAACTCAAATGAGATCAGACACTGTCCTCCATTTTTAAAACTCACGGCGCCCCAAGTAATTTTGGGGCTTCCCGTTTAGGTTATAAGGCTTCAAATTTTAACCGATCAAGCTACGGTCAAATTTCATATACAAAATGCTCGATAGCGATAAATAAGGTAATAATATCCAAACATTATTCGTATTGACCTATATTAAAACTTATTAATCAAACAAACAACGAAAACATAAAAGAATTTTGTCACACGCGCACATTTATTTTTGATCTCGACATTTGTGCAACATTAAGAACTAGTTCTACTATGATTCTTCGCTGAGAGATATATTTATCTTAATAAAGGTCAATAGGGAAATTATTGTTTTATTAGCTAATTAATGTCTAAAAGAACAACGCTATAATTATGAAACCACAAGATATGGGATTATTCCAAACCGTCACCACCCTCTAAATAAAAAGTTCCCTCCGTCCCAACTCTGGCGACCAGGGAACGGTTGGAACTTATTTTGTTTCATAACAGTTCCATCTGTCACCTTATTGGTGATAGTGGGACTAAAAGAAGGAACGGATGAAACTTTATGCTTACGTGGAGACAGAGCGGGGTGACGGTTGGGAATAATCTTAGATTTGTTCCTGACTTCGGCCGCGAGATATAATGAACTATTTTTATTTATTTATTTAAAACTTCATCCAGTTCTGTCCAACCTCTTTGGAGCTACGTGATAACATCCAGACATTCACAGATTAAGTTAACAAGAATTAATGTTTGTTACCTTTTCCTCCACAGTTCGCTATATTCCTGCTGGTCATCTTCATAGCGGAGCTGGCGGTTGGTATTGCTGGTTACGTAAAGCACGACGATATAAAAGACTCAATCGTACGCCATCTCAACACCACAATCAAGGAATATCCGACTAACAAGGAGGTCCAGAGCACCTTCGATATCCTGCAGACTGACGTAAGTTGATTATTCTTGTAATTGTTCACTTGGTTCGTGGTAATATATCTGAACAGCGTAGTCTTGGGTATACCCAATAAAAAAATAGTTAAAAAATAAAAACGGACTCATAATTCCTATAAGACATTTAAGGATAGGAGTTGAGTATGAAAAATCTGTAAATAAGACAAATGAGAAAATGCACTTTCGCCTAAAATATACAACTTTTTATAATTTAGTTAAATTTTATTTATCAAAAATTACACTTGAATTTATCCATTACATTTACAGGCATTGCCTAGTGTAGGCATCACTAGATTGTATGTATGTTAACCATGATTTGTAATTATCTTTTAGTCGGTATAACTGTTATTGTAATTGTTAATCTCTTGTTTTTCAATAAAATTATTTCTATTTCTGTTCTATTTTGTTTTTTAAGGCAGGGGAGATGATGATGATTCTATTTTGTTTTAAATATAAATCATATACGAAATTAGTATTAAAAATCCCTGATCGTTTGTAGAAGATTGATTGTTTTCGTTTTCGTTGGCATTTATTGTGTTCAGGACAAGCTCGCGCTCGATATATAAATGTTATTTTTAAATTAGAATGGCGCCGCGCCGTTTAGAAGATACCAAATCTATTAAATGAACAATAATCGAAAGGCCACCTTAAGTGCTGTACTATACTATTTTTATGTACAACTAGGTGTTCGTGTGTGGCTTCATCCGCACGGGATTTCAAAAATTTTATTTTATTGTTTACATTTGTCGTCGTCATTACGTAACATGACAAACTTTCTTAATGTTGGCAGCAGCTTATGGTCTCTTTCCCACATTCGAGTTTTTATCCAATTTATTTACACCCTGAGTTTAATAGCGTGAAAATATATAGCCTAGAACGTGACGTAAGTGTAGGACTTTTTAGGACTGACATCTTAGGCAACAAAGAAGTGCGTTTACGCTTTATTATAATAGTATAGATAATATTCTTTATTTGTTCTATTGTGATTGTTCAGTTGCAATGCTGCGGTATCTACGGGCCGGGAGACTGGGCCAACAACTCGATGGCGATCCCCGACACGTGCTGCGCGGGCCGCGAGATCAAGGAGGGCGCGGCCGCCGCCTGCGCGCCCGACTCCCCCGGCTTCCACTCCCTCGGCTGCGTCGTCAAGCTGGTGCCGCTCTTCAACGACATCGCCCTGCTGCTCGGCGGCGTCGGCCTCGGCATCGCCTTGGTGCAGGTCAGTCTACACAAACACCGCATCAACCTCTCCCGCCACTGCCTGATAGAGGCTCGGCTTAATATGACGTTACTGTTAAATAAACTAACAAAATACGATATTTTCATTACATATTTTACACGTTGGATTGTTATCAGAAAATTTGGTGGGACAGATCCTAACTTGTATACAACTGACATGGCATCGAATTTATAATCTTACTAATGTAATAAATGCGAAAGATTAGATGGATGTTGAAATTTGTAGCCTAAACTGCTAAACGGGTATCGATAAAATTTGGCATAAATGTAGAAGATAGTCTGGACGAACACATAGGCTATTTACTATTGACTAAAAAACTCTATAAACTCTATAAACTCTATAAACTTTTGATATAAAACTCGATAATAACGTCCGATTTTGAATTGGAATAAAGCAAAAAGCTATGAAAAGCAGATTTTGAATGTAAAGGAAAAATTTTATCGACATAGTTCACTGTTCAAACCTTTTAGAATGATTAAAACGCATACTAGGTCAGTACTATTCCTATCTCTTTGGATATTACCCCATTGTACACAATGATAGCTAAACAATCGCACAAAGCAGTATCTTTGTTATACATGCTAGCTTTTGCATGCGAATCCGTCTGCGAGGACTTAAAAATACTTACTAAGTAGCCTGTGTTCTAACAGACTGTCCTATATCTTTTTTTTATATCATAAGATGGCAAACGAGCGTGCGGCCACCTGAATTCGCCGAGAAAGCGAAGCGATCGCTGCCCATATACATCCGCAATTGCAGATGCGTTGCCTACCCTTAATCAATGGAAAAGGACATGCACATAAAGAGGATATTTCCCCTTCATCTGCGTCTTATCCACCGTTAAATCCACTTTCCCTTCCCATCCTTGCTGTATAAGAAAATGGTGGGAAAGGAAAGTGACTAAAATTAGGCCTCCCGCATCACACTCATCAGACAAAACGAGGATTTGCTCCCAAATCACGCCTGTCTTGTGCGTGGTCGTGGTATTGCACTGAGTGAGCCGGCCTATTCGAAATTTTAATTTAATTAGTATTTTGATACATTAATAATTAAGATTGATGTTAAACTAGGTCAATACACGCTCACAATAACCCGTGACTACGATATAACAAAAATTACATCGACAACCCTAAAGTGCACTTGTCTATTATGCAAGGAAGTGGGTCATCGCCTCGCACTTGACTCTATTGCTCACTTGCCAAGTCCCATTTATTACTGAACAACTCAACATACGAACATAATAGTAAAAATTTCTAAAAAAACATAGTCTAAAAAATATTTAAATTTTTTAAACATATTGAGTTAAATTTTTCTGCGAATAAATTCACGTTTCTTAAAAAAGAATCTTTTCTCGTCTTTACCCCTGTAGTAACAAAACTCAGTGCAAGGCCTGTCCCCAACGGCTGAATATTGAGACGATTTTTCGCTTCGTAAGGCCTTAAACTTTTAAATAACTTTCAACTAAACACAAATTCAACAACACAAGGTAGCACACAGAAAAACACGTACCATGGTGACGTCTAGAAAAATACTATGTCTGAGCGACTCCTTGCAAAACCTCTCATCAGACTACCCCTATTCCCTTTCTAACAGTATTTTTGACCGACTTCCCAAAAGGAGGTACACAACCGACATCAATAATTGTACAATGTATACATAACATAATAAGAGAGTTTTACATATTCAAGGAATTGTTTCGTTACTTTTAGTGTATCTTGTAAATTTGTTTTTTCAGCTCGTGGGAGTGATATTTGCGTGCTGCTTGGCGCGCTCCATCCGCAGTGAATACGAGACTGTGTAAGCAACCCTGACACATAAACTATTGCTGTCTCTTTCAGTGACAGAGATAGCAATACAAGTGTTACAATTGAAATTCATACAATTGTCAACTTTAATCTCATGCTGTTAGTGTCCATTTTTCAATTTTAATTATTGTGATTTAATTATAAGTTTGTCCGTATATATTGTAAGTTATGTTTGTTTTCACATTTTATATTTTAAATACAGTTTTATAAGAACGCTGTTAGTTTCTCTATTAGTTAGATTTTCATTATTCCATGAACACAGTATGTATACTTAAAATAAATAGATTTATGTTTACAGTTACAAATAATTGATTTTGAAAGTAAAATTCAGGAGAATTTGTATCTTCATTTAATTCTGCAATTTCATTATCTTATAGATTTTCATATACAAAGTTCATTCAGTGTAGAAGACTGATTTTGGTATAGAAATGGTTTAAAATTGCCAAATTTTATTAATATTATTTTTAATTCTTTAATATTTTCTAATATAGGTGACAAATGTATTCTTCATATAGTTGTAGTGTGGTGCACATTTTTTGTAAAATCTTAGATTTCAAAACGTTCGGTATAGATTGTTTTTCTATAAAAACAATATTTGTATCTTAACTAATTTGATGTGTAGCATTTTTAAAGTTTTTCAATGTATATGCCTATTTAAAATAAAATATATGATCTAATTGTTTTTTTTTTTTTCTAAAATTTACTTATATCATTCCAAAAACTAGTTTTGTATAGTCGAATGGCTGGATTCGAACCCTCGACTTTGGACGAAAACAATACCCATATAATTATGGGAATAAAAGCCTAGTAATCTAGGCTTTTATTCCCAAGGTTGATTAAAACAGCAATTAGTATCAGTTACACAAAATTTTATTTACTATACAAAAATTTTAACAAAAAATGGTAAGGGCTCAAGACTCAATCTTAAGGAACATCAGTCATTATAATAGAGCTTTTGCAATGCTATAAAATTAAATTGAAAATACAAAAACGGTTCATCTTTGTCTACCGTAGCCAAGGCTCACAGCACCAGTTTTTTCACTAAAAAAATCACCCAATATCGTATCGCAACCTCACTGTTTTGTCAATACACGAACGTACCAAAATTACACAGCAAATCTAAAATATTAAGGTGCGTTTACACTGAAACGAAACGCGAATATAAAATTACTAGCCCATTTACTAAGGTATTGGCGTAGCCAGTAGCGTATGATGGGGCGTGTAATAAGGTGACCTAAGTAAACCTAAATTATTTAGGTTTAACTAAAATAATAGATACAGACCTTTTTATATAAAAAAGAGTATTAAGACTGCAGGTATTTGTTAGTAACTTTTAATTTTTTACTTCTGCCCTACCAGCCCAGGGCTGGCTACGCCCATACTAAGGGATCAAGCATATTAACTTTTCAAAACAAATAATAAACATATTTTTTTCTTAGAACATTTATTGGCATTTATGTGTTCTTTTGCAACCGGCGGCTTCTTAATTTTATTGTAATCGTTTAGTTTCAATGTAAACACTAAGATATACAGTATACATTACCTACATAACTTACATCTAACTTGCTAAACTAAACGGAACATTTTAGTCGACAAAAAAGTTATGGAGTCTGCCTATTTGGCACGAAAAATAGCGTAAAGTCACTTCTTGCGTCCATATTTGATATGTTTTCAGAACAAAATTAACCACAAAATAAGCTCTTAACTTTTTAATTCAATAGTTTGGTTAATAAAGTCACAAGGAAGCTATCCATTATAAATGTAACATGAATCAAAAACAATGAATTATAGTTTAACGAATGTCTTATTTATAAGAATATTGACTTTTCTGTGATGGACTTCAAAGGTTAAGTAAATTAATACAAGAAAGATATTTTAATGGTCATTTTATTTAAAAAAACTGATAGTTCTTGGAATCACCAAAATGTCTTCAAATTTTCTGGCTTGACACCTTAGTTATTATTACTAAATAGTAAATTCAAATTATAAGAAATTATAATTTACGATTGTCTGTTAACCTTGGACTAGACGATAATCTGTTCGAACAAAATAAATGACAAAAAAGGATCTCTTTTAATTTAATTCCAACCACTAATTAGGAAACCAAAATCATTTTGCGAGGTTCTTCAACAACCATATACATTAAAGATACAATAATGAAAAAAAAAATTACTACAAAAAAATTAAATTGTATAATTGAAATTATAATTACTATATACATCAAAAAGACAATTACAATATTTCGAGGACATTACAAAGCAAGGAATTTGATGGCATACGGAAACAAAATTAAGCACAGTATAAAAATCACCAAACATACTTTCCCACAAAATGGAAATACACAGAAACAATACCATTTTTATACTCAGAGCTCTAAAGTAGACATTAATTTGACAAATACTTAAGCAGTACCAGTTCAAAGTGTCTGAGATCAACGCAGTTGGGAAATTTGACTCAATTCACTGGTTACTAATACATACATTAGTAAAATTACCACTGCAATATAATACAGGACTAAACATAGAGTCATCCAATTTATTAACTAAGAAAAAACCTAATATTACACAGTTCGTACCATTTCGTAATGGTTTCATCACAATGATCGCAACTAAATGAAGTTAAGCCAATATACAACACACTTCACGGCATATTCGATTACATTTACAAAAGTAGGGTCGTCAGAGACCATACATCGGAGAATGATCTATGCTTTGAGGTGTCAATTCACCCCATCTGATAAAAAAAGGTTAGTCCTTTCGTACACAAGACAATATTTATTTTGTAACTTAATTAGACGGAGTTATTGTAGCAAAAAATCTGTTTTTTACTATTTACTAGTTACTAGTTCAGTATATTGTTTCAAATTAGTTGTCCGTCACACTGAATAATATTGTAAGTGTTAAAGATATAACATTTCCCTTCCTTGGTTTTAACACAAAATTAGTATCAATTTAAATTGTCTTGTGTACATCAGGACTAATAAGAACTCTCATTTCTGACATATCCTTTACACACACATACAGCCTTACAAATAAATGCAGTATAAAGAACTGAGTATAAGCTAAATCTGTACTAATATTTGTTTATACTCAGTTTATTCCTAAGTTTAACTTCATACCGCGTTTATTTATAAGGCTGATAGACTTTAATTTGAGGGAAGATCCCTGTAAGTCAACTTGACCTATCCATTGAAAAAAGTTACCTCTACTAAGAGATACAATTTTTTTTCTGATGGATTATTCCTACATTACATTGAATTGTAATGAAGTCGACTGTATAACGGGGAATATGTCGCAAACTGTGCACACAGAATAAGTAAGCTTACATTTAAGATGGACTGAGAACAGAACGATTGGTAGGATACGCGTATGTGGGGACAGGGTGGGGACAGTGTGGGCAGGGGAGAGGAGACAGGGCAATCATGTCGCGTAGCGCTTGGTCCAGAGGCGCGCGATGCGGTCGTGCTCGTCTCTGTTCTGCAGATACTGTGTGGCGATGCTGCCCACTAGGGGGTCCGCTGAAAAAAAAAATTATTTTGAAAGTTAGTTGAATAAAAAGAGAAAGCAAAATTAAATTAACAATATGGGGGCAACTGCTCCCTTTTCTAGAGACAAAAATGTAAAAAAGATATAAAACCACTTCAAATAGGACCATATTATTGATAGCCACCCCTAAACCTACTCGAGATCATCAACTAGCAGCCCTCATGTACAGTATGTTTTATAAGTCAATAAGAAAAACAATGAAAAAGATTCAAAAGCTTCTAACTGAAAACTCTAGCAATAATTTATTAATGCATATACAAACTATACTTCCTTTGTTGTAATGAGAAACATTCATTATTCATTGTTTTAGAAAAGTGTTATTATAACAGGTCTCAAATTTCTCTTAACTTTAGACTCTATTATAACAAAGAAATGATCAAAACTTTCTCAAGCTTCATCAAAGTGGTTTGACTTTCATTGTGAAAGTAGAAATAATTTACATGAATACATTTTACTATACTCATGTAGGATAAGGAGGTTGGATATGTTTTCATTTTAATTTGTTTACTCCAAATTTTATATTGACATCAAAAGAAAAAGGAACAACATCGGGTTTTTTGGAAGTGTTTGTGAATATTACAAATAACAGTAAACAATGAGCTTTTTATTTAAAAGTTACCCCTACATCATTAATACTAAAGAGGAAAGATTTGTATTTTTGTAAGTAATTTTTGAAATAACTTAAAAACTGGGCCGCTTTAAAAAATCCTTTCACAAATCAAGCTATGTTATCAGTGAGTAACATAGGCTATGTTTTCTTAACATATTATTATAATTTAGTAAATAAAAAAAATAATATCAGTCAATAACATACAATTAATACTAGACTTTTTTAATTACACACAGACAAAAATACAAATTATTAATGAATCATTAAAATATACATGAAAAAATATTAAATCAAATATGTAAATGATAGCTTGTGTACCTGGATTGCAGTCAGTCAGCAGTGAGCATATAGACAGCAAGACTTTAGATATAGTGAGTGCGGGAGACCAGTTGTCCTTGAGAATGTCCAGACATATCACACCCTGGCTGTTGATGTTACAGTGGTATATCCTGGTGCGGAATGTCACCTGCAACAGACATTTAAATCAATAAAATAGTCATTAAAGTTGTATTTAGTCAAACTTATTGTAGGCTAGAGCCTCTGAAAGGAACTTATCTGAAATTCAAGTAGTGTTCAGTATATAGGTAATGTGGATAGCCAAATTAAATTATTCCAAGTTTGGTTTGCAAATTTTCCAATATTATAACAGCATATACAATAAATCTTACTAACATTAAAGTGAAAGTTTAAATGGAAGGAAGTACATAGATATCTCCAGAATGACTCAAAAATCTTGGGGAAAATTTAAAAAAAAAACAAAACTGAGTGGCCCATATATTCTTCCAGACTATCCTCTAAATCTAAGCCAAATTTCATTTAAATCCATTCAGCCGTTAAGGCTACAAACTCTAACAAACATCCATCTATCTAAACTTTCGCATTTATTTTTTTTTACCACTCAAAACTAATCATGGGCAAAAGCCAACTGTGAATATAGTATTCTTACAAGCATAGTGTTACTATTAAAAGTAAAATGTTCATTGAATCACGATTTCTAATATAAACCAGTTTCATCTACATAAAGTTACGTGACTTAAGTTAACAATGTATCTCACTATAAAACAATAAGTATTCTCATAATTATGTAGCTAGTAGTAAAGAATAATGGTTTTACAAAAATATTACCTTAGGCGGTTTAAATGGGTATTCTGGTGAAAAATGTATATCAAGGAAGAAGACACCACCCTCATACACTGAGCCTGGTGGTCCTAGAATGGTTGACACCCATTCATATAAATTGTCTCCTTTTGGCCCCGCACTGCAATTTGGTGGGGGATCAAGTGTGATCTCTGCCAATTCCTTCTGGATCCTCTTAGCCGATGTGCCTAGAGCTTTTGACATCTTGGGATTTGGTCTGTTTTCTTTCGAATCAGGTTTGTTATCAGATACTCCGGAGTTTGCACTGCCCCGTCCTCGTCCTGTCCCGCTTCCTGATGAACCAGATGCACCAGACATTATCTAAAAGAACCAAATGTTTTTGCCAAAAAAACATACAAAGCAGAATGAAAATAGTTACAAAGCTAAAAACTGTTATAGTGAGGTTTTATATTCATTTAATTTTACTTTCCTGGCTTACAAAAATCCCATGCAAAAGATGGTGTAATTAAAATGTATATAAAAGGGCAATACAAGATGAAAAAATTTAAATGAAAATGATAATACAAATAATTTTACACTTCTAATTATGTTATAATAAATTATAAAGCATTGAGTAATCAATTTATGCTAAAATTAAACAGAAACAGGCAACAAATTTGCAAACTAGACAACCTTTTTTGAAACAAAGACATTCTCATAAAATTCTTTACGGCGGTTTAAAGTATAAATGAAATAAATACTATAATTTATTAAATGTATAGACATTGAATAATACAAAAACATATCGCTTATAGTGATAAATATAATAGAAAAAGTTTATTTTGTACCTTACGAATAACAGTCGGCCATCTTGTGGGCTGGCGTTATCCAATAATTTACTATTTGCCTCACTGGGGACCTGAACCAATAGATAAAAGTCTCTAAATATACAAATATAAAAGTAATGCAATCCAAATTATACCACATTTACTAGAAACTTCATGACCAAGTTACGCCAAGTCCGCACTGCAAAACGAAAACAGGCAGCTTGTTACTTTTCCATGAATGGACATAAAATATGTAATGAAACTTAGTGTAATAAGTCATAAAAGTTGCACCTAAAAGAATCTTAACCTTTCTTTTATTGAATTTCGCGATAATAATCAATGCCTCAATCCACTTCTATTAAATTTCATCCTTTTGAACATCACCTCACGAACACAACAGCCACTGAAATTTAACATAATTAAGGGAAAAAACAAAGGGTTTACTTCGTTTTCTTGTAATAATCAGTACTTACAGTTAAATACAAAATAAAACAAGGATAGTTTTATGATAAATTAGATGAATGGAAATAATGGTAAAACAAATTCACGCTGTGCAACCACTTTCCGACATGTTTATAAAAAACCGGTGTGTTGCCAACGAAATTCAAAATTTATTTTGATTATTTTTGTTGTGCTTTTTAATATTTTTTTAAAAAGTTAATTTTCTATTCTTAATTTTTTATAATATGAATTTTCGTTACCTCAACTTATCTTTAAATACCTAAGATTTAATATACCTATATCGGTATCAATATTTCTGGGGCAAAAAGGTAATCCAATAAATAATATCAATGCGTCTTGATTTACGTCATCATATCCTTCGGGGTTTTTTATAGTAATAGGATGATGATTCCTGTTTCCGGTCTATTTTATATTTTGCTTCCCAAATAATAAATGCTTAATTGTAGCAATAATTTTAATTAAGTTGGAAAACATGGTAGATTTCCTGCCTATAACCTTTTTTAACCTATGAGGGAAATCTTTGACAGCTGTGGGCTATGACATTAAAGAAACGTCAATGTCAAAAAATTGACTCAAACTCTAATAGATTAATATTTCAGGAATTTTGGATGAAATAATTAATTGTAATCAATTTACGCTTAAGTTATCGCCAATTGACTATATATCGCTATATCAGCACTTGTAAGATAACGTTTTGTTCCATATTACTGTTTGTTACGTAGTTAAAAATGGGGAAAAGGCAACATCAAAAAGATAAAATGTTTGTATTTGATCACTGTATCCTTTCTTGAATATACAAATTTTTAAACCAATAACATTTCTTTAGGTACTTAACGTACACGGAATGGACTACATTATATGGAGGCAAAAGATCTGGCACATCTACTGAAGAAGATACCACTTTTAAACGACTTCCGTTTGACCACTGTTGTTTGTGTCTGCAACCATTTGAATATCCTTTTTGTGATGGCGACGGCAACGTTTTTGAATCCGAAGCTATTATAGCTTTTATCAAAAAATTTAAAATTAACCCAGTAACTGGGAAGGTAATATATTTTTTATTACTCATATAATTAAAAGACATCTTTCAATTGACTTCTTTTATTAAGGCTGTACCTTAGCTAATTGGGCAAGATTCCAGGGTTTTTTATTTTATTTTATTTAAGTGAATTTAATCTATTAGCTACTTATTTTATTTTAGAAATTTGATGTAAAATCATTACTCAAGTTGAAGTTTTTTAAAAATGCCGAAGATGAATATCATTGTCCCGTTCTATTTAAATTGTTTACTAAGAACTCACATATTGTTGCTATTCGAACAACGGGAAATGTTTACTCACATGAAGCTGTTGAACAACTTAACATCAAGGGAAAGAACTGGAAAGATCTCATTGATGATACACCATTCACCAGAAATGATATCATAACAATACAGGATCCCAGTAATTTAACCAAATTTAATATATCAAATTTCCATCATATTAAGAATAATTTAAGAGTTGAAACAGAGGGTAAGTCTTATTACTATTTTGTTAATATAAACAAATGACTACAACTATACAAAAATATTGTGGGCAAGCTTATTAAAATATCTTCATATTTCAGAGGAAATTGCAATGAGAAAAGATCCACATGCAAGATTGAAAACTGTATCCGCTGAAACAAAAGACATTTTACAACAACTTGAAAAAGATTATAAACCACCTGAAGTAAAGGAAACTAAAAAAGAGGTTAGAAATTAAAAACACAAATCAACAGAGCACAGTCTATTAATAATACCATTTGATGGCTGTGCATTCTAATCTAAATTTAAAGAAGGATATTTGTTTTTTACTTTCTTCTTACTTTTTCCTGTCTATTTTCAAAGATTCATGAGAAATATAGAGCATCAATTTAACAGAGGTGTATGTTTGTTATGGTTTTCTTACATTTAGGTAGCAGATAAATTCAATGCTGCACATTTCTCAACCGGTATGGTGGCGGCCAGTTTTACTTCCACTGCTATGGTACCAGAGACAGTACATGAGGCAGCTATCATTTGTGAGGATGAAGTTAAATATGACAGAGTGAAGAAGAAAGGTATTTTGATTTATTATAATAAGAAAGTCTTTCTATCCTATTAATGTTTCATGTACCCAGATACAATATCTAAACACAAACCACATGTTTTACTTCTTTCTTACTTTCTAACTTTCGTCCGTGGCTGGTCCGCATGGAATTAAGAAAAAAAAACAAAAGCAAATGGCCTCTAATTCTTCCAGACCATCCTCTACAACTGTGCTTAATTTTATCAAGATCCTTTCAGCAGTTTAGACTATAAATTCTAACCAAAATTCACCCATCCATCTAAACTTTCACATGCATATATAATATGGGCAAGATGTGAAAGGATGGATGTTTTTTAGAATGTATATCTGTGGCTCAACAAATCTCAATGAAATTTGTCACAGTTGTAGAACATAATCTGTTCAAACACATAGGCTAGTTACATTTATTGTCATAATTCAATGCTTAAGGAGACAATGGCAAAAGTATTTTTAATTTATGTCTAATTTATGTCTAAAAATTAATGATTTTTTTTTATAATTCAGGATATGTTAGACTGGTTACAAATGTGGGACCATTAAATTTGGAGCTCTATTGTGATGTAACTCCTAAAGCTTGTGACAATTTTATAAAACACTGCTACAGTGGTTACTACAATGGTACGAAGTTTCATCGATCAATAAGGAATTTTATGGTAAGTTAGAGTGAATTAGTTAAGTGTTAACTTGGCCATTTAATGTTTGAAATCTTGATTTTAAGTTTTATTTTAAAGATCCAAGGTGGAGATCCAACTGGTACTGGTCTCGGTGGTGAATCTATTTGGAAGAAACCATTTGAAGATGAAATTAGACCTAATTTGCATCACACAGGCCGTGGAGTTTTGTCTATGGCCAACTCAGGGCCGAACACTAATGGATCACAGTTGTATGTTCAACTTTTGTCTAATATATAGGACAATGAAGTCAGAGAGCTACAAATGCCCCAACTTTACACTTTAGTTTAAGTATTATGGTGTTTGGTTTACACAAGGGGGTTCTTTACTTTTATCTTTCTTACAAAAACAAAATAAGCTCTATCATTATTGTCAGTTGCATAATTTTCTAAGGTCTATAATGCTTTCTGTAATACTTTCAGCTTTATAACATTTAGATCCTGCAAACAGTTAGATGGAAAACACACAATATTTGGCAAACTTGTTGGTGGTCTGGACACACTTAATGCAATGGAACAGATTGAAGTTGACAACAAAGACAGGCCAATACAGGACATTATAATAGAAGTCGGACAAGTGTTTGTTGACCCATTTTTGGAAGCTGAAGAACAGGTACTTACTACTTACTAGCTTTAAAAATTAAAAAAAATAACATAAGTAAGCCACCTATTTTTCCAGACTATGTTTCATTGTAGCAAACATTTTTTTTACAAATAATACAGCAGTTTAGGCAGCAAACTCTAACAAACCATCCATCCATCTAAACTTTCATATTTATAATATTAGTTAGAATTTTTGAAACTAGCAAGTATTTAATTATTAAAATAATGGAAATAAATAGTAACATGCTAGAACATTAAAAGTGTAGTGTACAGGAGTAAATTTTTTAGTAGTAGTAAAAATCTATTATGTTATGTTATATCCAATTCAGTGTAGTAAAATCTGTATTGAATTAATATTTAACAGCAACAGTAACTATTTAAAACTAACATGTTACTTTTTTATTGTTAATCAGTTGGTGGCTGAAAGAGCTGCAGAATTAAAGAGACAAGCGGAAGAAGATGGACCAGGAGTTAAACCTAAAAAAGCTGTCAAACAACCACTGAAAGTGTTCAGAGAGGGTGTCGGTAAATATTTGAACTTGGAAGAATTGTCAACAAACAAAGCAAATAAATCACAAGAACCAGCTAAGAAACTTAAGAAGGATAATAATTATAAATTTGGAAGTTTTGAATCATGGTAGTGTTATGTAAAATATAATGTAATTGAAAATTCAATGTTTTATTCTGTATTGTACACCTATAAATCCCACAAGTTCAGGTGGACCTCATGAAAACACTGTAAAAACCTTACAAGTAAACACTAAAAAAGTTAAAATTAGAAATAAACTGAGTATAAGTAAAATTTATACTAATAGTCACTTATACTCAGTTTATTCTTAAGTTTAACTTTATACCATGTTTATTTGTAAGGCTGTATGCATACAATGGATATAAATAAACTTAAGATTTAATAAATAGTACAAAAATAGTCCTCTGATACTATTATTCACAGAAAACCATGGAAGGGTCTATGAAAAAAAAGTCTGGGTATCTATACCTTACTAACAATCTAAACTTTTGGAATTAACAATGCAATGGCAATTAATTAAGGAAATTCTGTTTAATAGAATTCTTATAATATTAGTAAACAAAAAATAATATGTTATAGGATTTTGTAATAAAAGATCTGTATTATAACTAATAATACCATAGAACAGTAATATTTATTAAAAATAACATTAAGAGCTTATTTTTATGTAAATTAACATAGATCTAATAAATATCAACACATTTATTACCATATTCAACTACAATCAAATGAATCATAGACTTAATAAGAAATATTTAGTAACTTAAATTATTTTTCTATAAATATTAAGTACTTAAAAACCTTCTAGTATAAGAAATAAGTATAGATTAACATGAATACAAGTAAATTATTGTTTAATTGTAATTGGCGCGTCGCCGTCCAGTCCTCTGCTTGTCAAATCTCATCTCCATTTCTTCTAAAACCTTTGGAGTATAGCGAACTACTAACTTGACAGAACCTACTGCTTGCTTCAGTAGTTCCACAGCCTTCTCGTGATTTTCACCTTCAACGGATACACCATTGACAGAAAGCAATTGATCACCTCTCTTTAATCCACCGTGACGGTCGGCAACTCCTCCTGGGATGATCCGAGATATGTATATAGGTGAATTCTGCTCTTTACCACCCATAACATTAAAACCTAAACCTTCTTCGGTTTTCGGAAGTTCGACAACTCGAGGATGAGCGTGACCTTCTGCTGCGGCGAAAGCTGCTACCGTCGCTTTCGCTGTAGCCGATGCTCGAATATCCGCGGAACCCTGAATATCCACAGTTTCGTAGACATGTTCGTACACTTCTCTAACAGCATTTAAAAAATCACTCTGGAGCACTTTTTGCAATGCAGCTAACTTGGTGGCAGGAACTTCGCCACTTTGCTGTAACTTTTCTAATAATTCCACAGCTCTTTTAATATCTCTTGCTAGAGTTAACTGCTCACCCGTGCTGCTCATATTGTATTAGTATTCAGGTAACCAGGACGTGAGTAATAATTTTACTGAAATAAGTATGCGATGATCGATATCAACATGTCATTTTCATCGATTGTCAAATTGTCTACGCTCTGTTTCACGTCAATACGTTCAGAAACTTGACAAATTCTCGTAATGGTTGTCTATTTCAATTGGTTTTATCTCATTTATCCACGACAAATAGCTTTTATTTAAAACTCAAATTGCTATAACGACTTTTTTTAAATGTTAACAAAGCTCCAATAATTATTTAACGCTTGGATTTTCTGTCATTCCACATAACCTATTTTCGAACTTCGGGTTTCAGAACAAGTCTGCTTTATTGACATTAAAAAATGACGTAAAAATGACAGTTGCTCAATTGTGCCAATTTACTAAATATCAAGTTTGATTTTGTAAAGCAAGATTTTGTCTTTATTTAGTGTAATCTCAAAGTTTTGTCAAAGAAAAAGTGTTGTTGAAACTAGAGTGAAAGTGCGACAGTGAAAATTAACAGACATTTGTTGGTTACTGCTAAACTTTTACCAAAATCACTATGGATGACTTGGGTAAGTTTGGTGTTATCGTCCCAACCTGTTTGACTTGCTCCGTATCTATGACGTGTTTTATGTGAAATATTTAATACATTTACTTCGATACCGATTGTTAAATAATGAGCATACACGTCGTAACTGGTTGTTTACTTAGAAACTTATTTTTAGGTGATGACTTCATGAATGAATGACTACTGCACCTTTTAAGTTATGTTTATACTAATGTTAAGAATTATTTCGGCAATCTGAATGTTTTTATATGCCAAATTCCAATGTCTTTTGCATCTTGGTTTTAGAAATATTAGCTGTATATGTCTAGACTTAAAATGCAAGAGATATGATAAAAACAGATAAACTATACTTACAAAAGTGACCGAACTTTAAATTAGTAAGGCAGGCATAGGATAAAATGAGGTGGAAGGGAAGGGAAGACATTTTGCACCTAACCACTCGCAAAATTCATAGTATATCTGTGGAAATTCAAAAAAAAATAAATGGTTGCTGCAGTGCTTGATATAGTGCATAGTATTAAATGAATCTTACCACTTCAGTCAGAATTCACATTTATTATGCATAAATTATGTTACATTTTATTATGCCAATGTTATGTCTCTTGACTACAGTTTTGTATATCTACAAGAAGCTGCTTTAATGTTTTTTTCCTTATAGAATTACTAAGAATTTTGTTGCCAACTCATTCATTATGCTAAAACTTATAGGCTTTTATTAATAAACACTTATAAAAAAATACACATTTCAGTATGTAATCTAGAGAGTTCGAAATAATTTTGTTAGGCTGTTTTTTATTCAATTTCTATTAGATTTTGTTTTGCAATACATTGCTACTTCAACTTATGAAATACTGCAATAATAATTTAATGCAAATGTTAGTTAATCATCTTACAAACATGCAAAAAGATTATTATGTATTAATAATGATTTAATGATCCATCCACTTTCCATTAATGACTTTAATATGGTAACTGCTTTGCAATTTCACTGAGAGCCATTGTTATCATACAATACATACATCAACTAATTATAACAGAAATAGTATTTTTTTAAAAGGTAAATATCTCAATAAGTTATAAGCATAATGTGCATTTCTTTGACTTTGTCATTTAATATTGCATAATATGAAATTTAATTTAGAATATATGCTCACGATTTGTATTTCGGTCAACACAAGTTTATGTATTTTTGACCGACTGCCCAAAAGAAGGAGGTACTCAAGTCGTCTGTATGTTTTTTTTTTTACTATATATTCATGTCTTCTCTTAAGTTCTCTTGAGATAATTTTTTTTAAAACAAAAAAGCTAGAGTTGCCAAAAGAATTATTTTAAAAAGGAAAACTGGTGAAAGTTATTTAGAAAAGAATTTTTTTTTTAAATTTTCACCATGATTTTTCCTTTTTAAATTAAATCAATTGACAACTCTGGCTTTTTTGCTTAAAAAAAAATTATCCCACGTTTCTCCCAAAAATCCCATAAATTTTTGGGATAAACTCTTCGTAGATTGAGGTCGTTAAGCGTCACTGGCACGTATCTAATTGTAGACGCGTTTTAATTCACCACGCATTTCCCTCCATCAAGATTTGACAATACACGTTTGTATTACGTAAACACTTGATTTGATAATGCACAGGGTCATTGCTCCAATGGTACAAAATATGTTGTAATGTAAAAACAATTTTTTTTTACTAGAAACCATTGTTTTAGACACGATGTAACAGATGCTGGTTTTTATTGTACATGAAAAAATATCGTTCTTTCAGTGATTTGAAAAAAATTGTATATTTTTTAAACATAACATTTTTTGAAAATACAGATAAAAACAATAAGACACGCAAAGCTTCAATAGAGGTTTTTGTTGGTCATAAACACGTACCACGTTCATTCCAGCGCATCCACAACAAACCGACGTAGTTATTTTAATTATTCCACAAACTGTGACTGATGTATTCGGTTCCAACGAAAATAATGTTGTTATGCAGAAGAGACGTGTTTTATTTCATTTATATCCTTTTCTCAGCTGATTTTAGTTTCATAGGCGTCGTCAGAACCCTGCCTAGTGCCTTTCATGTCGAAAAGTATACAAAAGTGTAAACTACTTCAAATAATACATTATTGGTAGATGCCTCTTAAACCTAGCTTAGATCGCGGGCATGCCCAAGTGTAGTTTATATATTATCTATTGAATTGTCTATTTTATATATTTCACATAACTATGATAAACTCCGATACGTTAGTGCAGAAAAGAAATGACGCAATAAACTTTAGAGACGTTTCTTTCATGTTAGTAGGTCGCCATGCTAGGCCAAGCAAAATCTTGTCTAAAAGTGTATTAACTAATCTACAAAGAGATGGTTTACTGCCAATTTTTCTTAAACAACTTGACATATTTTTACGAAGACCTCGTACACGACAAGCAGGAAAATAAGAGCAATTAAAGCATAGTAAAATAAATTCTACGTCATCTTTGTAGTGACACAGAACGTGATACTGAGTACTTAGAATATTAACCAGATCACATTCCTTCGATCTGCAGTATGTCCTTTTAGTTACGCTAATGCGTGTTAAAATTATGCTTTTAGTGCGAACAACTTATCTCCCCTAGCCAAAATGAAACTAAATAAACTGTCGCGCCATGTTTTGTATGACATTATAGTTTTCATTTGTCGTGGCGACTCTTGACTTCACGCAATTCGCAACTCAGCACAACACAATTTTAGATGTAGCAGAGCGTAGACGATGCACGGAGACAGACCTACGGCCGCTAAGATATTTGAAAAGTATCATATTTAATGTCAGAACTAATCGCGACAACAATACAACCGTTACCAGGCTCTTTGGCGTTAGATCTACATTATTGTTACCCTCTATACATTCTAAGTCCCCTACTACACATATTCGTAAAGGGTACTGTTATAACATAATTTAATTTCCCCCACCTGGCTGGAGTGGATATCGTGCGTCACGCTACATTCGCGGCATGAGCCATGAAATGAACCTTCTATGGTCATCATTTGATAACTTGTTGAAAATCTCACGACTGTATCATAATAGATTTAAATTACTTAAGAGTTAGGTCTATAATTTTTATCACTATTTGATTTATTAGATCTAAAACAAGATGCTAAAACAAGGAAATGACTACAAATATACTAAATAATAGTTTTATTCGAGACGTCTAATGTACAAGTGCTTTTATAGTAATACAATTAGTGTTAGTCATCATTCGCCCATATGATTCACGAATTAATAAATGAAATCGCTTGGGATGTGGTTTAAAAGACGTCAATCCATTTTATAACTGTAGCCAAATTTTAGGCCGGAGGCCTAATTTTAATACCTTTCTTTTTCCACCCTTTTCTTAAGAGGAAAGAATGGGAAGGAAAAGTGGATTTGACGGTGGAGGAGACGCATAAGAAGGAGAAATGTTTTTCTTTATGTGCGTCTCCTCCTCTCCGTCAATTAAGGGTAGGCAACGCATCTGCGATTGTGGATGTTTATGGGCAGCGATCACTTTCCATTTTGGTGGATTCAGGTGGCCTCGTTGGTGGCTCGTTTGCCACCTTGTATTATAAAAAAAAGCCAGATCCTGTAAATATTACTTGGTAAGAAACAATACGGTAAATGACCTGTATGACATATACGAAAGTTTTATATTGATTGTGTTTTCGGTCAAATTTCATATCGACCAAAGTAAATAAGGGCTCGGTAATTCACCCTTATGACAACAAACAGTTTAGCCATTAGCGTCGCGTCACGGGGCATATTACCACGAGTTGCGTACAATCCAATCCACGCAGTTGTCCGTCGCCTCACGCGGTAACCAACGTGCTCTTGCGGTTGACGATTATGTTATAAAAAACAATATACATTGAAGTTTTTGGTCTTTAAAGTAATTAATACAGTGTGCTAACGGTTCATGTTATTAAAACAGTGATTGAAGACGTTTATGGACGCAAGTGTGAATAAAATGGATTTTTATTAGTCTTGTATGTTTTTGTGCTTAAACCTTTTACACTACGCGTGAAAAGCTGTTTATAGAATTGTGAAAAATTGGATTAAGTCGATATTTTTTAAACTTTGATATATATTAAATTCAAATAGTTAATTGGTTTCTTTACCTGGTTGACGCAATTTTTATAAAATAGACGTAGTTTGTTTCATAATGCGTGTTTGTTGTAATGTGATATTAAAGATTCCTTTATGATATGTTATGTTAAAGATTTACGTTTATTTAAATACTTAGTTGTTAGCTTTGGCCTTCTTGTTTTTCTTGGCACCGTCACAAAGATCGTACTCTATCTGGTCTAGACTTGTCGAGTCTAGGGTATACAGATCATTCATATTAGCACAATAAATATTTACATATGAGGTATCTTAAGGAAGATATTTATTATTTATGTTCTTATTGTACTGTCTACATTCCTAGAAACTAATGATTAACTTTACTATTGTTGTCTTATGGCAGTGTAGTAAATTTGCACGGTTTAACCAAAAGAAACTAAGGTTCATAGTCGGTTTGTCATTATTTAACTAAATCTGAAATTATTTTGTACATTTCCTTGTTATAATAATAGTTGTTGTCGAAATAATATTCTTGAGAAATCGAGTGATCTTTAGGTCGTCATAAGGGCAAATACATTACAAATCGCGTAGACCTTTCCTATTGCCAGCGCATTTTCGATACTAAGTCAACATAGTTAAATACATTTTACATTGACCGTTGTAATGTTTTACTTGTCGCGAACCTTTTTCCGCTATTCAGTCAAGAGGCTTTCGTCCGTGTGCTGAGGACAGTCGTGAACTTAGTATCTTCAAAAGTTTACTATCAGTTCGATCTTCGGCCGTATTTGTATGTGCCAAATAGGTCAAATTGCTGTGTGTAGATTGTAGATAGATGAACGGTTTGCAACACACAGGGTTGGTAGGTTAGCATTTATAATCAAGAGGATATATGTTTTAGTTGAATTAGTTTGTATGTAAAAAATGTGACACACTAAATTAAAGAAAATCAGTAATTACATTGTGGACTACCTACTCAAGTGATAACGTAGCTTTTTCTGATATGTGTTTATTTATTTATTTAATTATGTATTCTAAATCTATCCATTTGCTATAGTCCATTACGTCTAACACGCGTCCTGCAATCAGGTTGATTGGTTCTAAACGGTGTAGCAGCCCTGGCCTCACAAGCTTAAATATTTACTTCCTTATTAGAGCCTCTCGCCACGTCGGGAACAATGAAACGGCTACGTGCATCGTAAACATTCGCCTCGTAAATGTCAATCTCTTGTTTTAATTAGCACTCAGGGAAACGGAATGCACCTTCCCTTTACATTCGACTTCATTCTCGATACATCTTGGGTGGCGTTTATCAGATATTGTAGATAATTCGAAACGATTTGTTATAACAAAATGGTTGAAATTGTATACCGCTTTGATATGAAGAACTAGAACATAATTAATACATGTAAAAGAATATGCTTTGTAACTGTACTCGTAGATCAAAGGAAGACTGTTATCCCTTCTAATGACCATAGTAAAGGTTAGCGTGACGATGTGGGCGATGAGGGCGTACGTCTTTTGAGAATAGACAGTCGTCGCCGGATGCGGTCGGGCGCGAGTAAATTTTGGCGGTAACAGGCGAACTAAATTAGAATTTACCGCTAGGGAACGCGTGATGAATGGCGTTCGGTGTCTTCCGTCAACGTACAATCTCGATAATCTTAAGAATTCCACATTTAACACAGCTTTATATTCATGACTCTTTGATCAGTCTCTCGCCGACGAAGTTGCTTTGACAGATGGATTATTTATGTTGAACGCTATTCTATCGATAGTGAAGCTATTTTATCGATGTTTATTTGCTTGTCACTAGTATAGTACTTGACAATCGTATACGATTTACGAACGGAATCGTATCCAGGTTTAGCGGCGCGGCGTCTCTCGCGCCGGCCACCGGACATGCTTCGCCTCAGTTGTTGTTGGACTGCGTTGTAGTTCGCTTCTCCGCGGCCTCGTCCCGGTGACATTGCGTTATCGCTTAACGATAACAGATCGAACATCGATATCGATATGACGCAACGCGTGCGCAGTGCACCGCCGCCCTTGAGTTAGATGACATCGTTCTAGCTAGTAGACCGAGGATTGTGAATGCATTTACGCGTAGTGTAACACGTTTACATCTGTAGGTTGTGATTATGGTGTGCGGATCGTAGTGTCACCTCCGTGGGTGTTTTATTGTGGATCGAAGCTGTGATTGGAGAATGGATCGGACAATGTATGGCAAGGTGCTGCCAGGCACTTACAATCCTTACCGGTGCGCGATGAAGGAGAACGGCATATCGCCCGGCTGTGAGTATTTTATAATTTTTCAAAATTAATTAATATCATTTAATCTAGGTAACTTAGCCTTGTTCTAAAATATAAAATATAGGCTATTAGAAGATATTTTAATCAGTGATAATAATTTGTTATACAGCGTAAAAACGATTTTAAAACCCATATGGCTTTAGTAATCAAGTTTTTATGCGACGTTACGTGTTGTTAATTTCTATGTGTATATTTGTTTGTAATATTATCAGTAAGATGCGTCTGCTACTGTGATGGCGTGTTTTACGTGTACACTACGGTTGATTCCTGTTAGGATTGGATTAACCATCCATGTTGTGTGTTTATTTTTGTGTGCTCTAGAGTGCAACGCACGTGATCACTCAGCCATTGATTGATTATCGAGGCTCCAAACATTATGAGAGGCCGGGAAAGTATACATCGGTTAGTAACCAGATAGCATAGACAGAAAGATAACTATGGATAATCCCTTGCAATGCGAAGAAGTTATTCGGGAATTAGAAAATATTAGAGTTATTACCAATCTTCATTCATCTAAAATAAATCTCTGCTTTTTAATTCGGAAACTTTCGGTTTTTTTTTTATAACAATAAGAGATATACATCGATGTTTATTAAGCAAGCATTAGCTTGTAAATGTGATTTTGTGTTTTTAATTTTATTCACCAAAGGATTACAATCGTTTTCCTTAGATCTTTCAATAAATCTCCGTGTTTTACGGAAAAATGTTTGTTTTTATGATGTACCGCAGTTCCAGATTGTTTGTGAGCCCTATAACGCTGCCAGATCTATTATTATTAGACCACGAATGTTTTTTTCCGTGTATTATGTAACGTCGTATTTTTATATTTTTAAATTAACAGTAGCAAATGTATTGCAAATTATCTTATCTTACTTCTTACTAATATTATAATTGCGAATGTTTAGATGGATGGATTTATGTATGTTTGTTAGCGTTTGTAGCCTAAACGGCTGAACGGATCTCCATAAAATTTGGCACAAGTTTAGACCATAGTCTGGAAGAACACATAGGCTACTTTTTATCCCGGGAATAGTTACGTTTCCCCTTGGATTCATTAATTTAGTTTTTTAACATTCTTCGATCATTCTGCAACGGTCCAACATATCTTATTGAAATTTGGCACAGATATAAAACAAAGTCTGTAGTACACTTGGGATAAGCTTCATCCCCGAGAAATGTCCGGTTCCTGAGGGATAGTTCGTATGTTTTCTAATACCACGCGGACGAAGTCGCGGGCAACAGCTCGTATCTAATAAATGCGAAGTTTCGATGGATGGATGTTAGTCTGTAGTATAAACTTCCGAAACGAATTTGATGAAATTTGACATGATGTTGAGGAAAGTGTGGAAGAACATGTAGACTATTTACTTTTTTTTAATTCTACGCAGATAGTCACCATTTAGAGCTAGTAACGTACAAATACAAATGTTTTCCATAAGTGTAGATTAATTGATATGATGTTGGTTACGTTACGTTCGATATCTAGTGTTAAAACAATTAAGCTTATGAACGAAATGGTTAAAATTATTCTGTTGGCATCACCATACGCGTGAAGTCATCGCAATTGTTAGGAACCAGGTCGATTTGCGTTCATTAGTATCATTAGACGTTGCTATACTGTTGTAAACTACTCTGAACCACATATGTACGAAAATATATCGGCCTTGAGTACCTTATGTGTGTACATATTTTTTATTTGCTATTCCCCATCAGTATAAGGGCATTAACAAGTGTTTTACACGATAGGAATATGTGAGATTCTTATAAGGAGATAAATAAAAACTCGATCGTTGAAACAAGAAAGCTATTAGAAGAAATTAATGAACAAAGAAAACTTCAAGGTTTTGCAATGTCGCCTATTGACTTATATCTATGCTAGCTTTTGCCCGCGCCGCCGGCTACGTGGAATTTAAAAAAATGTCCTTTACATCTATGCCAAAGTTCATCGAGATCCGTTTAGTCGTTTAGGCTACAAACTCTAACAAACATCCGTCCATCCATCTAAACTTTCGCATTTATAATATTAGTAGGATTATAAAGAAGAAAGGTTTGTATTTTTGTATGTAGTGAAATAATTCAAAACTACTGGGCCGACTTTAAAAATTAATTCACCATTCTAGTTACGGTATTGGTAACATAAGCTGTATTTTTAAATTTCACCTGGACGAAGTCGCGAGCAACAGCAAGTCTGTAATGCAAATACAGCTTTTGAATGCTTAATATCACAGTTAGGTATCTCACTAACCCGTGGTTACTAAATTAGGGTCACTAAAATTGACGCCGCACTATGTTTTGTATTTGCGGTTGTTGTACCGTGTTAAATCGCCGTTGCGGCTTCGCACCTGTCCTCTAGTCTCCTATGACACCTTTTATTTTGTGTCATTAAATACTGTATACTTAAAAATTTACTTTACGCACCCTCAAACATATAATAAAATATAGAGAGAGACCTATACGTCCGTGTATGACGTCTTCCACGCTCAAGGTCTTGTAATGATCATTAAGGGACTCTTTTAGATTGATTTAATATAGTAAATCTGCATTAAAATAGTGCTTCAATAACTTAAATGAATTAGAGATTGTCATTTAGACTAATTTTGTTCCAAGAACGATGTGAGCCATCTGGTGGCGTGTAATCGGCTGACATAAGCGACGACCTCACAAATGTCATGCCTTTTGCGAAACCGAGTCAAGTTTACTCACGTAGCTCAATGAAAACTTGTTTGTCCTTTACGAATTTGTTCTGAGCGAATTCCTTAAAGCCAGATGGGTTGGAGGTTCGAAGTTGCGTCATTATTGTTTACTACAGGCATTATTGGTTATTAATGTTGTGTACGAATTCAAAGTATGATGCATATAATGATTCTCTCTTCTCACTTCTTGACCTATGACCCCAAAGTGGGACCACATATATTAATTTTAATTAAGTTTATTTATAAGTATTGATATAAACGACTAATACGCCATCTGAGGATTGGGGTTCGAATCCGACGTACCAGGACACATAAGCTTAGTTACATGGAATTATCATTTTCCAGTCATTATCCAATACTAGTAGGGTCGGTGCAGAAGTTTTCGGCCTCCAGGTTAATCTATCTTCATTCATCTCGGTCATTACTCCCTTGATCATGTCACCTTTCTATCCATCTCTTTCTTCGTCTACCTCTTCACTCATAACTAAATTTCTTCTTGTTACATTCCTCCCTACTAAAATCTTTTTAAAATATTACAATGTCCTTTACCTGTCTTGAAAGAGAAACATGTTTTAATAGTGTCAATTGAATACAAATCCATACTTACGTTGATTGACATGTTATGCATCAAACATTGTCAACGCTGTAATTATGTTTCCGGTGACGATATCGTCATATTAACACTGACATATGTCAGTGTTAATTTTTATGCTAATTGAAATCATTAGATTGCTGGATAAGGCGTGGTTAAATGTTTATTGTAATTTATATGTAAATCCTTTATCAAAGTACTACCGTTAGATATTGTTTTGTCAGAAATCTGAAGCATTAGACGTATGATATTATAGTCGTAGGATATTTGAAAATTAGATAATCAAAAATCAAAGTTTATTTAGTCCCAATTTCGATGTAATGTTTGGCATAGCAACAAATGTGCTAAATTATAGAGCTTCTTGTTTGATCTTCACTTATAAGTGGAATGGGAATTGAATTCTTTAACTGTACATATGCAATTGAATACCTGCATCATTACTTCTGCCTATAGGTTATGGATTCCCTTGTCTTTATTAATTATTTTTTGGAGGTTGTAGTACTTGTACTTTGTTACCTTGTAGAGTAGGTCAAATAAATCACCGGTTAGCCTGGGAAATATAATTAAACAAAAGTCAGCTTGTTATGAGACGACCATAAAGGGACTTTGACCTTCTACAGGACCACAATTGTCAGATCATACCTTATTTGACTGTAATTTTAATGTCATAATTTGGATTAAAAATGCAATGTGCTATAATTTCATACACAATTAGAAAGCTTAAAGGCAGGAAAGGAAGAAATTATTATTAAGGAAAAATGCCGTATTTGTGGAATGTAAAAGTAGCGGGAGAAAGGACACAAATATTATGTAGGTACAAAAGCATAAACTTTTTAATTAACGGTTTAAAAACATTTATTGTGAACAACGCGTTAATTGCAAATTATACAATATACAATATTGTGTTCAATATATTTAATAAGAAACAGTAATTATCAAATAAGGACAAAATATGAGGATTATTGATTTTATGTTTTTGTTTTTGAGGTACTAATTAGCTTGTTATAAAGGAAAATTACATACGCTGCAATAAAAGACGATTTTAAAATTATCGACTACTAACTGTTGCTCGCGACTTCGTCCATGTAAAATTAAAAAATAATAAAAAGGCATGGCCTATGTTACTCACTGTTGACTTTTTAATTTATTTTAATAGTGTTTTTTTTTTAATCGGCCCAGTAATTCTTGAGTTATTTCAATACAAATTTATAATATTAGTTTAACAGAGCCCCTATGTTCTATAGCACCCACAGCGCGTCGTATGGTTTACAAACATAATTTTTGTCTCTTTCTCGCTCTCTCTGCATCGTTTCCTCATTCCTAACGGTCGCGAATTTTTGAAGTTTGCTTCTCCACGCTGAGTGATTCTTCGTGGTGTGGATGGCGTTATGCATAGTACCTGCACCGTTGTAAATTAAATCTTTCTCGCTTGTATACTTGGATATCATAACTTTAGCTGACTCAGCAATCATTAGGTCACTGACATCTATACACGTGGTGTGTTATCCACTATTGGAAACTGGCCAATTAGAAGCTCGTTAGTGTTATTTGAAAGTCTAGTCTGATGTGTTTAGCGCATTACCTCGTTTATTACTATGTAATCACATTGTGAAATGTATGTCTAAAGCAAACTTTAAATAATGTTATTTAAACATATACCAAAAAACAATAAAAATATGTATTTTATAAACTTACAC